TGAGCCTGGAAGCTCAGAGCTGGCTTAATTTTTTGATTACGTTTTGAAGAACAAATAACTTAATATTATAAAAAAAATGTATCAGAGAACCCAAGCAAAATGATTTAAAATTTTATTATTAAATATTAAACATTTTTGCTTATCAAATTCGAACTCGAATTTCATGAAAGCAAAAATTGCAGCCTGCTTTTAGGCCGCCCGACAGCGTTAGTTCCAAGTTCCGCCAAAGGCTTTACATATGTGGCGCAAGTCTAGATGGATAATGCTCAGAGGAAAGCAAATCTTTAGGCTGATTTTTGGCTAGAATTTCCCTTAGAAAACAGGAAATTAGACAGAGGAAAAATAAGGTTAAATAAAATAAACTAAGGTTGTGTTGATTTCTCCCAGCAACTGACATCTAAAGGCGTACAAAATTTTATTATATTAGATTTTATACAAAAATAAAAAATGTATAAAAATAAATTTTTAAACAAAAATTAAATAAAAATTGAAGTAAAGAAACCCCCAAGCTGAAGTCAAAACCCAAACTGAATCATCATTTTTTCACACACTGCCTCCTTGTCCTTGTCCCTGTCAGCTGTTCAAGTGCCCCTTTGTTTTGGTATTCCTTCTTTTTCCTTTATATTTCCTTCAATTTTCATTTTCCCACCGTACGTATAGGAAAATCCAGGCATAAATCCTGGCAAACCCCGAAATGCAACATTATTTTTCATATCCTACCTGGCCTGAGCTGAGCAGCAGCAGGTTCACACCCCCTCCACAAGGGTTTTTCAACGGTTTTCCACCGGTTTTCCGCCTGCTTTCCACATGCCTATTCGGCTATGGTGTTGGTGGTGAGATCCTGGCCCAGGATAATGCCAGGTTCACCCGGCACCCCCGATCCCATGTAGCGTGACGTTCGGGCTCCTGCCCCTATTAATTGCGGCTCATTTGTCCTGTTCTCACCTCGTTAAAACATAAATTAAGCCAAGAGTCACTGCACAATTATGCAAATGCATTTCCAGGTTACAAATTAAAATAGTAACTAAAAAAAAGGATTCTTTGAGAGTTTATATTTGATATTAGGAGCTCAGAAGTGGAATATCATATTAAATGAAATTATTTTAAATATTTTAAGGAATAAATTTAATAGAAAATATTACAAATTCCCCCTTGATCTTAACTCTTCAAAAAGAATCACGAGATTAATAACTAATTCGTTCAGCCTTAAAACCCCAAGTCATGTGTCTTTAACCGATATGCAAAATCATGAAAACTGAGGAAAAACTGTATAGAGAAAAGCCGAGTGGATCTGTTCCCCCTACTCTCCAAAAACAGGGGGGATCCTCACAAACCAGACCAGAGGATGATGATCATCGTCATCATCTTCATTAGCAGGGTCTTCGTTATGGTCAGCGTGAAGCAGGAGGAGGAGGAGGAGTCTATAGCTTCTTCTGCCTTCGTGTTAGGCCGCGGGCAAGCGACAAACTCGTGACGTTCCGGAAAAACTCTGAGCAGCAACAAGAAAAATATATAAAAAAAAAAAGAAGAAGAAAAGAGCGCTACTGAGCGGGACTGTACTTTTCGAGAAACAGGGTGTTCACTGAGCGTCGCTCTCTCTCTCTCTCTCTCTCGCTCTCAGCTCTTCAAACATTGATGACGTCGTCGTCGTCGCCGTGGAAAGTGTTGGGTTTGTTTTTGTTTTGACTGGTGTACACCTTGAAGACGAGTTTGTTAGGAAGGGAATCCATGGCAACACACATTAAACGATGATGGGGTTGCCTTTGTCTTGTATGTTTTTCTTTTTTTGCATTAATTATGCCGGCGTTCTCTCCGCCTTGGCTTCTAAATTAATTTTTCTTACAACCTGCACCTTCTACCCTCCACCTTTACTTAACCATTTCCCGCGGGAAGACGTCGACGTCGACGACGACGACGACGACTATTTAATTATGAAAATCGTCGAAGACATTGGCCTTTTTGGCTGGGAAACTCCCACGATTGCGATCGCATTTTGACCAGCATTCAGCGTTCCCCACGCTTGTGGCCACTGGAGGGTTAAGAACGGGCGAATGAGGCGAATGAGGCCTTCTTACTGCCTCAGAAGAATCGTCTCCGACGGAGCCCGCCCTCGGTTATGCCTCAATGCACAATTCCCATTAGGGAACTTTTCACGAAAAATCACTCTCATCCGCTGCTCAAAATAAAAATGAAAACCCCGGTCGGTGGCAGGGGTAAATGTGATCAGCGACAAGGACAAAGTCATTAAGACTGAGTCCTGTCTACGCGGAAAAGGCTCATTCACAAGGTCTAGACCGTATTTAAGGATCATTATGAAGATCAGCGCACACAGAATCGCAATAAAAGTAATATCTTAGAGCTAAATACTTGTCTATATTTTATTTAATCATTTTTAAATGGTTTTCTATAAATTTTATTTTTAATTGGGTGGATTTTCAGGCCATAACGCAGGCTTTAAGAGAATTAAAAAAAATAAATAAGTAAAAAATCGTTTAATGAATAAATTTCTTATAGCGAAAACTTGTACAACAAATTTATTTATTAAAATATTTATTTATTTATTTTTTTAGGTTACTATTTATATTTGAATTTTCTTTTTCCTTGAAGATTTTTGTACAATTTATATTTGGTTTTATAATATATGGTATTATGACACTGTACCATATATTAAATAATTAAATAAAAATTTTACAAAAATATTAAAGAAAAAGGGAAATATGTTATGTTTTTATTTATATTAAAATTTTTAATTAAGTTGCTATGACTTATCATATCATATTATGTAATAATCATAGCGTACACACAAGATTTTTTATATAATAATATCAACAATGGTATTATGACTCTACATTTATATGTTATGACACTGTCTTATATCTTTGATTCCTCGAAGATTTCATTTCAAATATAATGACTTTTCTTTCTCTGCACTATCCCTTCAGAACCCCTAAGTACTAGGCACTGTTTGCCTTTCAAGAGTATCTCCAGACTATCTCCAGATACTCCAGATTTTTCTGGCCCTAATCTCGAATGAATCCAAGCAAGTGCAAACAAACAAATGTTTCTCAAGGGTTTTTCTTTTCGGGGTTTCTTTGTTTGCCCAGCGCGGGGCCATAAAATAAAAAAGAAATTAACATGAACAAAGGTAGGATTGCATAGTAGGTACATATAAATATGTAAACATGTGTATATATACATATATATAGGCTTGATTTGGGCTGGGCACGAGCGTGAAAGCGTTGCAGGTGCTAATGGGAGCCAGGCAGCTCCTTGGCGGAACCATAAAGTCCCCAAAGATCTCCCTGAGATTTCCATCAGGGTGAATTTTTATTTTTTAGCATGATTCACTCTGCTTCTTGGCCATGTTAAAAAAACCCATGGCTGGGGGTTTAATTTTGTCAAGTCTTTACAGTCGTTTATCTTTTCAATTTATGCGACATTCGACGTGCGACTTGAAGGTTTTTTGTATTTCGTTTATTATTTTTTATATTTTGTAAAACAGAAATGCAGCGCCCATTAATTATTGAATAGTTTCTTAATCACTTTCTTGATTTGTTTCTCTCTCTCTATATATATATTTTTCATATTTCTTGGCTAATTTTTCAGTTGACATATTAGAGAAAAGAGAACTCGCCAGGGCTATCCATCAAATGGTGACTTGGCCTTTGTCTTTGCTATCCGATTTCCATAGTCTCAAGCTTAAAGTTTGATTGATCAGGGTTCTGGCTAAAGAAAGAAGATGATATATCAAGTGGAGTTTGTTTTTTACAGTTTTATAAGTGTTGTATATAATTTATTTAAAAGGGAACTAGTTTTTGGGGAAAAATAGGACTTCCTTTAGCTCTCTTCCTGTATATATATTTTCTGTTTTCATTGAATTTATATTACTTAAACATATTTTTGCAAATAATAAACCCTTTCACCGCTGCATCCTTCAAGTGCAATTGATTTAAGACCCACCAAGCAATCAATCAATTGCCATGAGTCACCGCCAGCCTCTTCTCCAGTCTTGAGTCATGGAAATTGTGGCGGGTGTCGTCGAGCATAAAAAAAAGCATACAAAAAAACATAAGAAAAAACCCAGCGAAGAAAGACAAGGCGGCATTCTTCTTAATTCGGAGAAGAGAAGACAGAGAGATGAAGAGCTGCAGAGTTGGGGGGAGAAGATAGTGGTGGTGCAGCATCTTTATGACCCGATAAACCGAACTGGAACGTGTCTTGCATTTCCCATTCCCTTTGGCTTTTCACTCACCCGCAACTCAGATAAAAAATCAACAAAAATTTGGTTTACATTTTGGGGTTTCTTGGAGTTTTCTGAGGGGTTTTTCTTTTTTGTGGGTGAAGCAATTCTTTCTTTTTATCTTTAAATGAAACTAGAAAAGATTAACCAGAATTAGTAACTATTAATTTTAAGCTAATCAATAGTAACTATTAAAAAGTAACTAGTAAATCTAAAGTAAATCCCTTAGGCCTTTTAAGACCCTTTTTTTGCTGTGCTTGATTGAAGGTTCAATTTCTTAAGATTTTCTTTGGAATTGCTGGGTTTTTTTTTGCCAGGCTGACTCATAAAACCAAGTCAAAGAGATCTATAATCCCCAAAGACTCAAAGACGTTGGACACTCCATTATCTAAGAGGATGATTATGATGATTTCCTTTGCTGCATTTGTCACTTGGGGTTAAGAAACAGGGTGCCTAGAGTCTGGAAATCACGACAGAGAATCAAGAGAGAGACATAGAGCAGAGTCTTGTCTCTCCGGCTTACCTGCTCGGCCAAGACGTTTACCTGTTTTCTGGCCCACAACAAGGTACAAGATACTCCCCCGTTTGGGTTTGCATTTGGGTTTTCGATTCGATTCGGTTCGGGTTCGGGTTTGGGTTTGCTCAGGTGAGTTGAGTTCCCCTGGTTGTTGATATAACCGAAACCGAAGCCCAGAACCTGAGTGGTTCGTTCCTCTGGAAACCAGTTTCTCTCACAGTTCTCTCTCTGTCTCTCAGCAAAGTGCTCTGGCTTTGGCTCTGGTCTCTGGCCAAAACGAGTTTCAGTTGCGAGACAAAACCTACTCAGTGCAGACGTGTTTCTTCGCAGTTTCTTCTAAGAAAATCTCCAGTTGCAGCTTCTTTTTTTTTCAAAGAGAAAGAGAGCCAGAAAGAGATTCTTCCCGCGCGCGGCAAATAAAGAACGCCGATTCCCCCCAAAAAGAACCAGCACGAGTTGGAGTTTGAGTACTGCTGATTATATATATTTTTTTCCGAGTGCCTGCAAAGTTTACAAACCACAAACAGACTTGTTTGACTGGCCCCAAAAAAATACAAAAAAAAAGTGCAAAAAGTTGTCTAAAAAAATAAAGAAATAACCATTGGATTTATCACAACGATCTGCGCATGTGGAATATATCTATTTTGTTGGCGTAAGTTGAGAACTAAAGAGTGTGTGGCCAGTATTTTCGGAAGGCTTAGAGCAGCTCAACAAAGGAACCAACCAACTACCAGTTTTTTGATATTTTTTTGGGTTATCGATTCTATAATTTATAATTTATCCAACTCGAATCTCCCATGCGGGTCTTAGACTTGTTTCGCCGTTGTATTTTTTATGCTGGCCTTTTGTGATGAGGAGCTGAGGAGATCTCTTTTGGTATGTAAATGCCAGGGCCAGAAACCTGTAGCCGTCGCACAACAGTGGCCCCTCGCTAAGGCTGATGCGGAGAGGCCTGTGCTAATGCCAATATGCATTTATGCGGCTTATTAAAGATTAATCTGAGCAAGGCACGCAGGCTTATTTATTTTCCAAGCAGGGTAACCACTTGTCTTTCCCTAGGGAAAGTCCCGGGTAATCACGCGATGTCTTCTAGCATTTAAAGTGCAATTTTTTACCCTGAATAATGGTTGGGTTCTTTCAATTTGCATGGGGAGAAGACACTCCTTTAATTGAAATGCAAGGAGAGTTTCGCTTGATCATTACCATTCTTGTGATCATCTTGGAGGAGAGCCATCGATAGGCCAGTTGAGTTCTTTCTTGGCCAAGTCGCATATTTATGGTTAATTCTTCGTGGGGCCCCCGAACGCATGTCTGGCATATGTAAATATTTGAAATGAAGTTGGGATCAGCCTTCTACGCTTGGCACTCGGCTCACGTGCGCCATAGCAGGTTGCTGTTAACCCTGTTTTACACTGAGAAATGTTTCTAAATATAGAAGCTAGAACAAGTGGTAATGATAGCTCTTTATTTTGGCTAAGAAGTTCGGCCAGTTTAGAGCCACCTAAAATGAGTTTAAAGGCACGTCTGCCTGTCGATTAGTTAGTTCTTTGTTTTTTCATCACAGAACGTGACCTGAAGCTTCCTTTTTGAAGAGTTTGTTTATTAAAGATACCTAGGAAATACTTGTAAAGGCAGGTTTTTATTGAATAATATTTTATTAAATTATTTTTCCATTAGTTTATTATATTATTTCATTTAATATATATAGAAAATAGTTGGTAAATTTAGTTGTTCTTCAGGTTTTGGCCTGCCTGCTTTCTCTCTCAAAATCTAACATTCAAAATCTGGGTTTCGAGAAGGAATATTTAATTTATTTAGTGAATGCAAAAGGTGTCTCATTTTTATGACTGTTTCTTATTAAAAATATAAGATAAAAAATATATAAAACATACAATATATACCAGCTTTTCTAGCAGTGTCTAAGCCTGTATCATTTATCTAACTGCCAACGCCGCTGGAAGCCTCTCCTTTTGCCTCTCTCCCCTGGAGGCATTTTTTGTGTGTGGCAGGTTGCAGGTTGCACGTGTGTTGTTCCCACATTGCCATTACAGGTCTTACCTGCCGTGCAGTTTACCTTTTTCTATATATATACATCTTCTTTTTTTTTTGTGTTGCAATCTAAAGAAAAATCAGCAGAATCGGGCAGCTAAATCTGGCATCTTCAGGTAGTACTTCTTATGGTACTTGCACTTTGGCTGAGAAAAAGGTCAGTTCTTTTTGGCTTTTGTTGTCGACTGTAATTGCGGAAGCGGCGAAAACATTTGCCCATAAAATTCTGTTAACAATTAAGTGGCGTAAATCATGGCAAAAAAAAAGCTGCAGAAAAATATAATATGAAAAAACAACAACAACAGACAGAAGCTGGGGGTAGCAGCATTAATAATAATAAATGAAAACATTTATGTGGCTGCAGGCCAGTTTGTTAACTTGTTTTGCATTTTGAGAGACAAGAGCTTAAGTGTAGCTTTGTGGCTGTATCTGTATCTTTGGCTTTGTATCTGTATCTTTCGCTTTGTATCTGTATCTATCTCTCTTGGCGTTTGAGGTGTGCAAAGATCTATAAATAGTGGCGGTCTCAAGGACTGCCAGTTAACCAAGTCTGGCAAATCAAAAAAACCAAAACTCGAACTCGAAAACATGAAATACAAAAGCCAAATAACAGGGCATTTTAGACAGATTTTGTTGGCTTTTAATATTGTTAATAATATTTACAATTTCCAAAGAAAGAATGCAACTTTAAGCTGCTTTGAGTTTCCCAAGAAAATATCATCATTTGTATTTGTGGCTACGCAATTTAAAGATCTATATCTGTTTACTTTTTGGCCAAAACGATTGGCCAATTGCCTGGCTAATTGCATGGCCTAAATGATTCGCCAACTGACCAGATCCCAGCTCCCTTTTGTGCGTTTTAAAAATGGTAATTAAAGATCATGACGCGTGACTCTCTGGTGGACTCTGTAACCAAACTAATTAGCATGCAACTGTTTTGTCCATTGAATGGACAATTAAATATGTTAAAAAAGCAAGTGCAGGCGTAAGTAGGGGAAAAACAATTAGGAAATCACTCAGTTTTCCCCCCTCCACCACCTGCTGACCAAAACCAACTTCCGCTCGCCAACAGCATTGTCGGCTTTTCCGCTTATTAAACATTTTTTTTATGTTTAGCGGCGGCGCACCTAGCATTTTCCAGAAATCCCGAAATGTCACACAAAAATATATATAGAAATAAATAAAAATAGTGCACTTGGGTTTTAGGTAGAACTTTGCTTTTCAATTACCTTTGTGTGTGGCTTTTTTATGGGTTTTTTTGTGTGTTTTTGAGATAAAAGTAATAATAATAATAAATAAACTTGTTTTGAAGTTGGTTGATTTTTCTATGAGAACATGTTTTAAAATTTTAAATAATTTCTTGTTCTTGTTCAAGCTTATTTCTTATTTACTTTACCTAAAGTATATAACGCTTAATATTCAAGGTTTTAAGTTATTTATTTTCCGATTTCCCTCGTACTTTACCCTTTCCCAAACAGTTGACAAGTGTTAATTGTGCCAATTACCCATTTGATTCCAGGTATTGCTTGTTTGTGTTTTTATTTTCATTTGTTCAGGTAAAAGCTTAACAAAAATATATATAAAAAGAAACGGAAAGAAAAATAAACAATAAATAAGAAAATATGTAAGAGAAGCTGGGTTAAATTTTAAGGAACCGTAGAACTTTGCATATTATATATATTTTTTAAGCCAAGTCAAATGTTCGTGTTCAGCCACTGCTGGCACTGGCTTTAAGCCAAAAACCATTGTAATTGGCCAAGATGCAAAATACAGAATACAGCAGACAGAAAACAGATAATGTCTAGAATTATAAAGCAATATAAAAATGTACAGAAATACAAAGAAATGGACAAAAGTACAAAAGGCGTTTACAGATCTCAACCATATGCGACATATGGCGTTGTGTCGTGACGCTCCCTGGATCCCTCGCTCTCCGGCAAGTCATTTAACTGGAGCTTGGGGCTGGGGAAACTGGCTAAATGTGGCTAAGTGGATATATGGCTATAATGATATATGGATATATGGATATATGGATATATGGTCTCTTGGCTCGGGTTGCCATCGTGTGGCACTTCATTTTCAAGGCGTCAGCGGTTGTCAGGCGGCAATATGTTATGGCAATATTAGGTTCGAGACTATAGACTTGAGCAAACTGCCAACTGCACATGCAATTCGCTTGTTCGCAGTTTGAAACACACAAAAAAAGCCGCTGAATCGCCACAATTGAAGTTTGGAGTTCATGTTTCTGGGGCGAATCGAGGAGAACTCTGGCCTGATGGACCGGTTTCTTAACAGCGAAACTTTCGATTGGCCGCAATTGAGGTCGAGATCGGTCGGCCAAAAGCGAAAGTCAAGTCCAGTCGTTGGCTCAGGGTGTGCCCAGAGCCAGAGTCTTCGGAGCTTAGGCCCAAGTGTCGCTGCTGATAAAACAAAAACCTGTCGCAGCTGTTAGTGATACGCGTGCCCGCCAGAAGTCCGAGTTCACGTTGAGACACTGCCAGAAAAAGAGTTTAGGAAAATGTTTAAAACAAATACAGTGCACAAAAAAGGGCACATAATTAGTATTTGTTTATATATTTAATTATTTTTTGTGAATTTTATTTAGCTATTTTTTTATTTGATCAATAGTTCAATTTGGGATAATAGAAAACATCGATATACCATTGATTTTTTTTTTATCGAAATTTAAAGCAAAATATTTTAATATGTCGATATATGATCGATAAAACGATATTCTGCTTGATTTATCGGTACAAATATAATATAAAAAATATATAAAATGAAAAGGTGTATAAAATCGATATTCTGCTTTATGTATTAAACCAATATCGATCGATAAAAAAAATATAAATAATTTCAACCAAATTGTTCGGTTAATTTATCGATTATTTATTGATACCATATTTTCTATATGATATCGAGAGCGACCTCAAGTTCTTCAAGATCCTCTTGTCTCACCCTTATTATTTACTTGTGGTATCCAAACACATCTCTGTAAATTTCTCTCTGTGTAAATCAGCCTTTTGGCCCAACTTCCTCTTTAATTGCTGGGGGTTGCAGTTTTTTCTTGCTTTTTTTATAAACCTTTTTTGTACTTTTTTTGGGGGCTGACTTGGCCGTTTTGTTGGCACTTCCGCTGCTAATTTCTTCGCCTTTTTTTGGGGTTTTTTCTTAGTTCTGTTGGTTTTGTTGAGCTGAGCGAGGCAATAATCGATTTGCCACCTTCCCTACTGGCCATAAAAAAAAGAGTTCAGAACTCGAGGGAATTTTATTTTAATTAAAAAACAAAAAAACCTCCACAGAGTCATGAGGGGCAACGATAAAAGCTATTAGGATTTCCACCAAAGGAGAGGATTCCAAGAACCGCCTGCAAGATGATCAAGTTCAGGTACAAGCGGAAGGAGCCCAGCAATGTGGTGTGTTCCAGCGGAGGAGGAGGAGCACCTCCAGGATCAGAGTCACCAACAGCCAGTCCTGCCACACCTATGGCCACTTCTCCACCCTCTGCAGCCGCCTCACCCAAGGCCATACCCATACCCGGCTGCAGTCCCCTGCATCATCCCCAACTGGGCCACCTGATGATAGGAGCCAATGGCAATGGCGGCGGCACCCTGCCCCGCAGCAGTCCCCGGAAGCTAATGATGCCGGATGGGGGACTGGGCGACAAGTCTGCCACCCTGACGCGGCAGCAGTCCAAGCAAAAGTCGGTGAGCCACCTGGCCAAGGTATCCAGCAGCCTGGAACTGGCTGTCCTGGGCTATAACGGTGGCAACCTTGGTAATGCACCTTTGGCTAACTCCAATGGAAATGCTGAGCGAGATCGCTGCATCAATGCGGTTATTGTAAGTCGAAGAAAAGTATTTGGTTAAATAGAAAATATATGAATAATGTGAAAAGAAAATCAAGAAATAGGTTTGAAGCTTGGAAAAATCAGGGAAAATATATGTAGGAAAATAATAATTAAGCAAAGTAATTTATTAACTAAAATATTCCATTATTATTCACTTAAGGAAATTGAAACTTTATGTTATTTAATTTAAATTTAAAAATTTAAAACTAAGAAAGATTCGTTTTCTTGATTAACTAAACTCACTCAGTTAGGTCTTGGGACTTACTCTCAGACTGATCTCAAAGAATCCTAACTGTTCCTAGAAGATCTTAACTGATCCTAACTGTTCCTAGAAGATCTTAACTGATCCTAACTGTTCCTAGAAGATCTTAACTGATCCCAACTGATTTAAAGTGATCCTAAATTAATCTTTAATCCTTATTTTCTTTCCCCTCATAACAGGAACTCTTCCAGCAGCTACAAACCAGCTCAGAGCCGGCTCTTTGCCCCGAGCCACTGCGTCGTGCCTTGGCCAGTGGCCCCTTGGCGGGACGCCGCTTTCCCCTGGGCTGCCTGGGCGATGCCGCCGAGTGCTTTGAGCTGCTCCTGCATCGCGTTCACTCGCACATCTCGCCGGATGACGGTGACTCCTGTGAGTCATCGGCCTGCATTGCCCACCGACGCTTCGCTATGCGTGTGATCGAGCAGAGTGTCTGCAAGTGTGGGGCCAACTCCGAGCAGCTGCCCTTTACCCAGGTGAGTGGGTGTTTTTCTCTTGAAATTCAAAGGGAAGAGGGGTTAAGAATTTTTAAAGACTTTATGAGACTCACTGCTCTTTATTTAAGCACTATTGCAAGCCTAGTTTAAACTTGTTTCTCCCAGTGTAAAAGAACCCGTTTCTGCCCCCCTATGAAGCCTGGCCTGAGCTCCAATCAGAGTCGAGCTTGTGGCCTGGCGTGGGTTCCAGTTTGGCTTGGAACACCTGCAGCAGGCTGCACTTGGCTTGTCTCTGTGAGTTATACGATCTTTCAGCTAAGATCTGGCATAACCAAGCTCCCTAGTACCAGCTCCCAGCTCCCCTAACCCGTCTCTCAGCTCGCAGCTCCAAGAACAGTTAGAAAAAAAAAAACAGGTTTTGCTTTAAGACAGACCCTTAAAAAGCGATTCAAACTGACGTCAACACGTGCCAGAAGAGGAGTAGGAGGAGGAGGAGTAGGAGTAGGAGTAGGAGTAGTTGTAGTTGTAGTCGTGGGCGCACTGCTTCCGTCTCTTGACCATAACGGCAGCCAACTAATTGCTTCTGTTTCCCCTCCACAGATGGTCCACTATGTCTCCGCTTCGGCTCTGACCTCCCAGAAGAGCCTGGCCCTCCAGTCCCACCAGCAGCTGAGCTTTGGCCAGCTCCTAAGGGCGGCTGGCAACATGGGTGACATACGGGATTGTCCGGTAAGTAGATATACCCCGAACCAGCCATCCTCAAACCAAATCCTAATGCGATTTCTTTTCCCCAAAAACAGAACACTTGTGGGGCCAAAATTGGCATCTGCCGGGCCCTGCTCAATCGTCCCGATGTGGTGTCCATTGGCATCGTTTGGGACTCGGAACGTCCGGCCGCCGATCAGGTTCATGCCGTGCTCAAGGCTGTGGGCACTAGTCTGCGCCTGGGCGATGTCTTCCACCAGGTCAGCGAGCAGCGTTGGGCCCAGCAGACGCAGCACGAGCTGGTTGGGATCGTGTCCTACTACGGCAAGCACTACACCACCTTCTTCTTTCATACCAAGCTCAAGGTGTGGGTGTACTTTGACGATGCCAATGTCAAGGAGGTAGGTCCCAGCTGGGAGGGTGTGGTGGACAAGTGCAGTCGGGGACGCTATCAGCCGCTCCTCCTGCTCTACGCAGTGCCCCAGCAGCCTTCGTCAGGCGGAGGAGTAGGAGGTCTCGAAGGAATGGCTAACACTTCTACCATGCCCGCACCAGTCCCTGCCGCCTCGGCCTCTGTGGTGCGTCGGGCGGTGACTCCCAGTCCGGAGAAGCCCTGTCTGGGCAACACGAGGCGAGCCATCACCCCAACGCCGCTGCGAACGCCGGCCAGCAATGACTACCAGAATCTGAGCGTCATCCAGAAGAACATCTTCCCGGGAACCGATGAAACCGATGCCTACATCAGTCGCAAGACCGTGGAGCATGTCCTGAGTGCCCAGTACCAGAACCTAAGTGTGATTCAGGACAAGATTGGGTCACAGGGACAGAGCCAGGGACAGGTGCCGGTGGCAGGACCAGGACAGGCGGGACAATCAGGAGTCCCGGACAAGGATGGCGGCTTCCTCAGCCGCAAGCCCATCGAGGCCGTGCTCAGTGCCCAGCTGGCGCGGCGCCAGCATCTTCAGTTGCAGCGCAGCCACAGTGCCGAGTCAAGTTCGGGCCATGGCAGCAGCCATGGTTCCACCTCCTCCTCCAATGGCAGCTCTCCGCCCAGCGATGGCCTCACCATGCCCGAGCATCTCAATCAGCCGCGGCGCAGGGATTCGGGCAACTGGTCCGGGGATAGGAACAGCGCCAGCTCGGCCAGCTCCACGACCCTGGACAATCCCTATCTGTACATGGTCGCCAAGCGAGGCGGGGTGGCTGCAGTGCCGCAGAGTCCCACGCGTCATGGCCTGCCCTACGATCCGGGCTACGATTCCTTCTCGCTGAGCTCCACGGACTCGTATCCGCCGAAGCACACGCTGAGGGATCCCCAGCTGGCCAAGATACCAGAGGCGGCCATGGGCATGCCGGCACATCCTGGGCATCCGGGACTACTAGCAGGACATGGACTGGCCTTGTCGGGAGACTGCGAGAAGCTGTGCCACGAGGCTGACCAGCTGCTGGAGAAATCGCGGCTGGTGGAGGAGTCGCACGACCTGGAGACCGCCCTGGTCCTGTGCAATGCCGCCGCTGGAAGGGCTCGGGCAGCCATGGATGCACCATATAGCAATCCGCACACCATGACCTTTGCCCGGATGAAGCACAACACGTGCGTGATGCGAGCCAGGAGCCTGCACCGCCGCATCCTGGTGGAGAAGGGTGCCGAGACGGAGGCCATGCCGGAACTGAAGCATATGCGGGAGGGCAGCACCAGCAGCGTGAAGCATGTGCGGCAGAACAGCAAGGATCGCACGCTGGACAAGGAGCAGCAACAGCTGCAGCAGCAGCAGCAGCAATTCCAGCAAATGCAGCAGCAGATCCCCGCCAGCATCGAGATCTATGCCACGCTGCCCAAGCGGAAGAGTCCGCTCAAGGCTCTGGCCGCCGCCTCGGCCTGCGATGACAATGCCATTGAGTACGAGCAGGAGAAGGTCCTGGACAAGGACAAGGAGAAGCAGGTGACGCCTGGCAAGCCAGAGCGCGAGGGCCGCTCCTTGTTTGGACGCCGGGACAAGGAGAAGGAGAAACGCAGCCGGAGCGAGGATCGCAACAAGCTCACCCGCGAGTTCTCGCTCACCGAGACGCTGCTGGTCAATGCCAAGGACACGCTGAAAAAGCACAAGGAGGACAAGGACGAGAAAAAGGAGAAGGACAAGAGCGGCAAGAAGCAGCACAAGATCCGCCGCAAGCTGCTCATGGGCGGCCTCATCCGTCGCAAGAACCGCTCCATGCCGGACCTCACCGAGGCGGATCTCACCGAGGCCACCCATCATCCCCATCCGCATTCCCATCATCATCCGCATTACCCCGCCATGGCCACAGCTGGCTCCCAGCTGCTGCTGGGCAGCTCCGTGGACGACAGCGCGGTGGGTCTGGGCAAGCACAGCCATGGCCTAGCCCACTCGGCCGCCATGAGTGGCTACATCTCCGAGGGACACTTTGACTATCCCAATGGAGGTAATGGAGGAGGCGGAGCTGCAGGTCAAGGGGCCGCCGGTGCCGGCAGCAATCCGAATCCCAATCTGGAGCGCAGCAAGCTGATGCGCAAGAGCTTCCATGGTAGCGGTCGCCAGCTGACCATGGTGCCCAAGGTGGCCCCACCGCCGCCCATGCGCACCAGCTCCACGCTGACCCCCCAGCAGCAGCAGCAGCAGCAACAGTTCCACCACGAGGCCAACCTCTCCAATCTGTCCGCCATGAGCTCCAACACCTCCATTAGCGAGGACTCCTGCCAAACGATCATCACCACCTGCGCCCAGGTCCACTCCGAGCAGAGTCCCCTCAAGGATCAGCTGCAGCTGCTGGGCCAGGGACAGGACCTGCCCCTGCCGCCACCCATGGAGCTGCCCCCGTATCCCAGTCCGCCGCATTCCGCCTGCCATTCGCGTCAGGCCAGCGAGGATTTCCCGCCGCCACCGCCCCCGGAATTGGATCTGGAGCCCCTCAACCAGCAGCTGTGCCAGCTGCAGGCCTTGGAGGCGGCCAGCAAGCAGCAGCGCCAGCAGCTAGACTCACTGGAGGGCACCACCAGCATCCTGGCCCAGCTGCAGCAGCGCCAGCATCTGCTCAAGCTGCGCAAGGAGCAGCAGCAGCAGCAGCCAAACGGTGGCCATCCGGCGGATGCCAACTGGCTGAAGGAGCTGCAAGCGAAGCAGGCCAGCGATCTGCGAGCCATGCAGCGCAAGCTGGAGGCCTCCTCGCCATCCAGCGTAAGGGATTTGGCGCATCGCTTCGAGCAGACGCAGATCCGGTCGTATGCCTCCCAGGAGCTGCTCTCTCAGCCGGCGGCTCAGCTGCGCACGCAGATGAACGGCCTGCCCAGTGCCAAGCTGGACGTGGATGAGGTGGACTCAAGGCCCAGCCTGGGACTGCACCAGCAGCAGCAGCAACTGATCCTGCCTAAGCCTAAGTACGAGATGAGCCAGTCGCAGATCGCCGAGGAGATCCGCGAGGTGGAGCTGCTCAACACGATGGTGCAGCAGAGTCTCCAGCAGAATCAGCCGCCCAAGCGGGTCAAGAAGAAGAGCGTCTCCTTCTGCGACCAGGTGATCCTGGTGGCCACCGCCGGCAATGAGGAGGACGACGACTTTATACCGAATCCCATCTTGGAGCGAGTCCTGCGCACAGCCCAGCATCCCAATGAGAAGGTGGGCGGCGTCACTGCCCAGATGATACAGCAGCAGCAGCAGAACATGCTCAGGTTGCAGACGGAGGCGCAGCCCAGGCAGCAGCAGCAGCAGCAACCGCAGCAGCAGCTACAGCAGCCTCAGCTACAGCAGCAGCCTTCGCCCATGCTGGGCAGGCCAGCAGCAGCAGCTCCAGCCAATGCAGACATGCAGCGCTATGTCCAGAGGATACAGCACCACCAAGAGTTGATGCGCCAGCAGCAGCAACAGAAGCAGCAGCAGCAGCAACAACAAATGCAACAGCAACAACTACAGCAACATCGCACCAGCATGAACGGCCTGGCCAGCCAGCAGGTGCAACACCTACAGCAGCAGCAGCAGCAGCCAATGGATGGCCAGTACACCAGCATGCCCAGACCCCTGCACCACAACCAGATGCTGGCCCAGAGCTACTCCGTGCAGCTGCAGAAGCACCAGCAACTCCAGCAGCAGCAGCAGCAGGCCTCACAACTGAGCTTGGGCTACTTCAGTAACGGCAGTGTGGCAATCTCCGAGCAAGTGCCCCTGCCCTCGCCCTACCAGCGAGTGCCCCTGCCACATGGCTATCCAGCAGCGGCTAACGCTCCAGGAGTAGCTCCTGCAACCGCCTCTGGACCCGGACCCTATTTCCCACTGCCCAATGTCCAACAGCACCAACAGCAGCAGCAGCTCCTGCAACAGCAACAACTTTTGGCTGGCAAACCCGCCGCCAAGAAGGTGAGCTTTGAGCCGGGGACCAAGGGCGAAGCCGACTGCCTGCCACCGCCGCCGCCGCCGCCGCAAACCAAGCTGGCCCTGCAGAATGGACTGCCGGAGACAGTATCAGCAGCAGCAGCATCGCTTGGTGGTGTGCCTCCACCGGCAGGGTCAACGCCGGCGGCCATCACTGCCATACCCACCCGCGTCTACAACAATGCCATTGTGAAGGCCTCGGCCAAGGCCGTCGAGTGCAATCTGTGCCGAAAGCGGCATGTGATTGCGCCGGCGGTGTACTGCACCAACTGCGAGTACTACCTGCAGATGCTCAACCAGCGCAGATGATGAGCAGGATCACGATCAGGATCCCTCGATCTAGTGCAACTTTCTAGCCGTACATGGAACCCGTTAATCTCAAGCAACGCAATGCTGCCACAAGGATGTACATAGCCAGGATAACTAGCCCGTAAGCAGAGGAGGAGAAGGAACAGCAGAGGAGGAGCAGCTGCCGCCAGGACAATGGATAGCGAGAGGGAACACAGTCCTTCTATGGTCCCACATGAGAAGTGCCCGCTGTGCCAACCCATCCACCAACCCACCATCATCATCCACACCCACATGCAAGCATCTCTCGGTCCCCAAGCATATTCCCAAAACCATTCCCACAACACGGATATATACTTGCAAGGACACTAACAACACCCACTGAGGCATTCCTGGCCAGCAGTTTGCTTCCAACTAACCCTAAGTTTAATTTTTTTTAATGTTTTCCACTGCAGATTTGAAATCTCTGTGAAAAGTGCCCCAGCAAAGGCTCTACGCGAATGATTTGCTTACTTTGGAGTGCCTTAAACTTCAACTTGAACTTGAACGATTTTTAATAGCATAAAAGTACATATATTTTTTTAAGAATCTCAGTCGCTGAGCTTCCTTGTGCGGGCTGTTGTCCAACGACACTCGCATTCAATTTTTTTTTAAACATTTTTTTATGTATATGCTTAAATATACAACTTTTTTTATACGTGCATCTTTTTTTTTTTTTGTAATCAGTTGTAGCATTTATTTTTTTATATATTGACCAATATTATGTACTTAATTAGGCTAAGCTACTTGCATTTAAACGACTCCGTGTATTTATAGTGTTTATACCTACTTGTACACACATACATTCATACTTATACAGTTACGCATACATATATATATTTTTATAATGATTTTTTAAAAGATTTCTCCTTGCAGAATACGAGTGACGATGAAAAGAGATGTCAAGCATCCACAAAAAATGGTAAAGAATTACGTTTTTTTTCTAAATAAATAAATAAAAAATACAAAGAAACAAACGTGTCTTGTTATTTCGAGAGGTAACTGCCATTAATTAACGGCCAAATTTGAATTTTAATTTGGGGTCCTTGGAATTGTTTGGGGAAAAATGTAATTATTTTGAAAGCGAAATCTTAATTTGGAAATTTTTTTTCGGAATTTTAAACATTTTTTTCGGAGTTTTTACTATTTTCTGATTTTTTAAATTTTTTTTCTGAAGTTTAAAAGGTTTTCTGAATTTTTAAATTTTTTTCTGAACTTTTAAAATTTTTTCTGAATTTTGTTAATTTTTTCTGAATATTTTAAATTTTTTTAGATTTTTTAGAATATTTTAACTGATAAATTTGAATTTAACTGCCAAATTTGAATTTGAATTTAACGACGATCAGTTTCAGTGTGCCCAGGTGCAGTTGTAAAATGTGACCTAAATTTGGATTCAAAAGGTTTGAGACTCCGCTAATTTGCGCCGGCTCCTAAATGGTTTGAAACTTGGACTTTTTATAACAGTTTATTCCCGTTTTCGGTTGCTTGCTGCTGATTTCTGTTCGCCTGTTACCCCAATTTGGGAAACGGGCAATTTGCATGGAAATTTTTGGAAATTTGGATGGGCTGCTGTAGGGATGTTGTTGTAATAAGGTTGTTGTTGCCATCAAGTGGTTGTTGTCGGCAACGAATAGGTAGGTATAAATGCATAAAATCAAATATAACAGTTTGTACCAATTATTAATTTTGCCCAAAAGTTTTTATAACAGTTTATGCCAGTTTTCAGTTGCTTGCTGCTGGTTTCTGTTCGCCTGTTACCCCAGTTTGGGAAGCGGCCAAATTGAATGAAAATTTTTGTCGCTTGCATCAGTGATGCTCATAGGCATCAGTGATGCTCATCTGGCTATATTGCAATATTGGGGGGCAATAAAATCAGGCTTAATGGCAGTGATGCGCATGTGCATCAGTGATGCTCATCTAGCTACTTTTTTGCATTATTGATAGAAAATGACATCTCACTAGCTGTCAGTGATGCTCAAGCTATTTTTGCATTATTGTGACAAAATGACATCGGACTAACCGCCAAAGATGCTCATCTAGCTATTTTGCTATATAGCTCATAACTCGGCGAAAAACGCATGAAATTCAATTCGGAAAGCTGTTCTGAGTTGCCCTTTCTAAGCTTAATAAAACTGCATACTAGGTTTTGAATTTCATGCATTTTTGGCCGAGTTGTGTGGTTCACATTTTTATAGGTAAGTATTTTAGCAAAACTGAGTATGCAGTTTTGTTAAGCTTGGAAAAGGCAACATAGAACAGCTATATATGCTCTTTTATTCGAGAAAATGGCATTTGCTCTTGCTATCAGTGATGCTCATGTATATATGTTGGATTATTGGGAGAGAAAAAACATCGCGCCGCATTTATCTGCAGTTATATTTCGAATATACCAACTTGTTAGTTTCTTTCTTCTCTGCTTCGTTGATTAATTACTTACCTTTTTAATAAGTCTGAACAGACTTTCGAGTAATCTCCTTATTAAAGCAAACAGACCCTTAAACCCAATCAAAAAACAAATGTTTCGCCGTGTTAAAAAATAAGCTTTTTTAATAACAAAAAAATATGTATTCCCATGCCGATTCTCAAAGAAATCCACACAAAATCTCACTTTTGGGTGCTCCGCAAAATAAACATTTTTGTTTCCTTGCGAATCGGCACAGGCGTATAACAGTTTCGTAATACTCTTTATTTATGAGAGCACTTTTGTGAAGATTCGTATAACGTTTCCACACATTTTCCATACTTGCATTTTGTATTTTCTTTATTTTGATTAATTCATCTTTTCAAATTGCGTAGAACGTTGCAAGCAAGTGTTAGTTTTTTTCTTTTCTTATACTATTGTTAGTAAATGTGTTTTAGTTCTTTTCTTTTTTTTTTAGTATTGTATTTGTTATTCTTTTAGAACCGTGCTCAAAGCGTACGCTTTCAGTGCCGTTCTTAACGATGGTTCTTCGCAATTCAAAAATATTTCAGTTATTTTTTTCTTTCATTCGTTTCGGAAAACGTTTCAAAACCGCTCTTTGACGCATTCTCCGAAATATGTGGGTTGTATGTGGGTGGTAATTGGGAATTAGGGAAGCATGAGGACATGCATTAGAGTGGGGAGCAGTATATGATCTTGGGACAACTTAAAATGTGTTAAATGTGGTACACATAAAAGGATGGATAGACCGGGAATGGGGTGCACACTAGACGACATCCAAGTCTGGACAGATCAATAACTTTAACAGAAAAATGTTGGGAGATTAGGTATAAATATAAATATAGTACACAAAAATAAACAGCAACTCCTCCAAGGCGGAACTGAAAGCAAGTTTTTGGGTTAGTTCAAGTTATATATTCTCTTCTCTTGATTTGGGCAGAGCTTCTTGGCTGTGGCCTCTTTTTGGGAATTGGAATGGGAATGGACTGTACTTTAGTTTTTAAAGCCTCTTGTTAAATCTCTTATTTTAATCTGCTTGCATATCGAACTCGTAGAGAACCCTAGTAGAATCTGCCAACTGCAGGAATCTGATTTACCTTAAGCTAGTCGCCAACTGAATATGAGTATGATTTGTTTATGGAAACTTTGATTCAAAAATTAGCCAGATTATTTCGTATATTAGATTTAAAAGAAATCTCCCTCTTGAAAAGTACTGGAAATCGCCCGGCAAGGTAAATGAAAAACACTAATTGAAAACTTTGGCTCCGAGAGGCTCCAAGTTTCGTCTCAGTCTAAAACTTATCTGAAAGGACACACAGCATAGAAATATGTTAATACTCAAAATCAAGCCAGGCTTATTTGTTCTCTTTTTGTGCTTTTGGAACCTTAGATAAGACGCTTAGCCAGTTTCCAGAGTGCCGATTTTGACTTTGCCTTTTATTATTGATTATTTGTCACGAGTTCTATCATCAGTTTAAGCGAATATTTTGGCTTCATAAGCAAAGAATGTGATTTAAGGGCAATTCAGCCAATTGCAGGTCACACGATTGACCAAGCAAAGAGCTTGTTTTAAAGTATTCTTTTCATTCTTTTGCACACGAAGCGAACGTTATATTTTTCACAGCATTTTTAAGCGTTTCGAAACGCTTTCCATATACTTGTTTTGTTTCTTTTTTTCGCTTAAAAGATGATCAGTTTGGAGAACATTTTCTTTTTAATATATATATTTCTTATTTCCGGTTGTCTTTATCGGTTTTATGGTTTAGTTATGGGGCAAAGTCTAGGCTTTCTGGAAATCAACTAAACGCCGTCCAAGGATCGAAGACAAAAACTCACCTCCTGTCGGTTAGTAAAAGGCTTATTCAGCTATAAAGCTGATTAATTAGCTGCAAGCAACGCTGGATTAGTATCAAAACCAAAAAAAGGAACAACTAAAGTAAAGTAAAATGAACTTTTGCCACATTTTTTCTTTTTTTTCTGGGCGATTCCTAGGCACTACTTTTGGAGAATTGTTAGAATGTTAAGAATTGAAGAATGGACTGATTTTTGAAGCTGGCTGTGAGATGAGTTATGTTTTGAAGGGTCTTAGCTTGAGGTTAAAGAAAAAATAGAGCACTACATGATATCCTTTTGCTGATTAGAATTCTAACAAGGTTAGTCCACCTCGAGTCTATGCAGAGGCAGCTTCTTCTGAGCGTAGCTTCATGGCTAGGACTTTGGCAAGCGGCATGGCGTGGCTATTCTTTTTGAAATTCTAAACTATGATTATCCTAATTAACACTCAGTATGTGATCCTTGGGGTAACGACAGCTTCTTGGCTAAAATCCATCATCGAGGTTTTTTTAGAGAATTTAAAGTGAAGCAATGTCGCAGCATTCACAGGCCAGAAATGAGTTTTAATGATTCAGGTGAGGTGATGTTACGATGACACGATCAGAATTTATAGAGCTAAAGCTCAATATTGACAGTTTTAAACTGAGGTTTTTATATCCGCTTGAGCAGATCCTGGCTTTAATTATAGCAAATTCGCGCTCCGGAGGCTCCTGCAACGGTTTTGGCTAGAACAGATGACCTGCGACCCCGGCCGGTGTCTGTGAGTGCGCTTTGTGCGTGTGTGCATGCCGAGGTACGCCCTTTCTGTTATACGCATCGTTATGCACTGATGCCGTCTCTGTCTCTTTTATGCTGTTTGTATTGCTTTAGCGCTCTCACTTTGGTGCCTTGCAGTCCGCCCCTAGATGGCCGTCTCGCTCTGCCGCTTGCGATGCAAACACCTGGCCGATGCGTCAGAGTGGGCTAGAGGAGAGCCGGGAGCCTGGGCTCTCCATGTCTACAGTATAGTCGTCTCGCTCGCATTCGCGTGGCACCACACGCGCCCGATAGAAGTATGCGTACGCGTCGTCTCGCAACGCGTGTGATGCCAAGCAAACGCTCTGGATATTCGATTGTGCCTCTTTCTCTCTCGCTCCGGTCAGAATTTTCCATCGCAAGCGTTGTCTATGATATTGTGGGTGGAATCTCTCACCGGGCCGCAGGAGCTGCTGGACTGCAAGGTTTTTACTTTGATAGGGTCGATCCCCACGACTTGCCGCAGCACATGTTGCACCACTCGCACCAATGAGGCGTATATCAACGTTGCCGCGTCTCATCTCTCCCGGAGGAGAAGGAAGACGCCACCCGAAATGGAAGCTCCACTCGGAGGGGGATTCCATTACTGCTTAGGCTCTTTTCCAGTGGAAAGAGGGTTTGGGTTATCACACTTGATGACTCGATGTGGTGAGGAGGATGCACGTGAAGTGACGGTTCTGGTCACGAATATGCCAGCACAGAATTGAATATTCGGTGGCCAAGAAGCTGCCGCTGCCTGCTGGATCACAACTTGGTTTCACAGTTTACCAAAAAAAAATCACATTTTCACTAGGAAAAAAATTAGAAAAAAAAAAGTACACTTTCTGCTGCAGTTTTTAATTCTTACGAGAAGGTTCCTAACGCCATGCCGCCGATGCAGCGAATGATACCCAATGTAGTGACAGAGTCCAGCACGTAGTCTCGGTTTCCGTCTCCTAGGGGTTTTTCCAGGTAGACGACGGGTAGGTTTACTTTAGGTAGCCGTCCATCCCAACCCCTAAGTCCTTCCTAGGGGTCTTATTTATTCTCAAGGACAATAATGCCGCGGCAAAGGCAGCTGCAACGCAGGTCAGGTCAGGCCTGTTTTTTCCGGTAGGTTCTCACTCTCTCTTGGAGTTTTCTGCGCTGGCAATGCCGTTGGCATGGCATGGCGTGACGCCTCTGCTTCTAATTCATTTAATTTCTCCATCGAATTATGCCAGCTCCTCTCTAAATTTTAACTAATCTAGCTCACTAACATGTTAAGTTGATTTATTTTAAACACTTTTAATACCTAAGCCACAATTAGGAAAACTTTTCTCTGCAATTCTTTACACTTTTCACTTCCTCCTTTCGCTTGGCGCTGCCATTTGTGGCAACCCCCTTTGTGGCATGCCTCTGGCAATAGTGCCCTTTTCCCTGCCAGATTTTCTGGTATATTTTGGGGTCACTTTTATGACCAACTAAGAGAAAATAACTATCAATAGGAAATACGTTTACAATAAACAATAATACAGTTTCAATTGTTTAATTATAAATAAAAATAAATTAATTTAAATTCAAAAAAACATTAACATCTCTTCAGTGGGTTTGGGTCTGGGCTAAACGTGATCAAGCAGCTCTGCCACATTTGGGTATATTTTTCAGGGTACTTTTTCAGTATTTGCTGTGCTGTTATTGAGACGGCCAAGTTGCGCACCACTCTGTGGCAGCTGTTAACCTAACATGAAACCACGTTTACAGCGCCAGGTGTCGCCGCTGTATGGCCTAAACTGTAACCAGTTTTCACACCCTTGCAGGGTATTATAATTTCAGTCAGAAGCTAAAAACTCAGTGAAGAAGGCATTTCCGACCCCATAAATCATATATATTCTTGATCAGCATTGAAAGCGGAATCGATTTAGCCTTGTCCGGAGGGAAACATTTCTTGAGCCATTTTTACAAAAATTGATAATGCCCATATGATACACTAATGCAGTTTTCATTAATTAGCTACTTCATTAGAACCTTGAAAGAGACCACTATATGTGTAATTTTGTGTAATTTGGCTTGAATTTTGCTTGGATTATTTTGGTAATACGACTACGGTCACATCGTCCGTAAAAGGTAAACAAAAAAAACGGCCGCCATTCGCGGCGTATTATTATGAATTTCTGAATTCCTCGTCGAAGTATTCTTGCATAAATAAATGCAGAATCCTTTAAATTTATGTTTTTAACCTATGATGCTTAAAATTTTTTTAATTATTACCAAAAAAAAAATTTAAATTAAATTTACAGCGCAAGAACCTTGCCACCGCAAAACATATTATTTTTCCTAATTTTCTAATATTTTTTCAGTTCAAAAAACCAGCGAAATGATATAAAAATAAAATTCTCATTGTGAGACCATACTGTCAATGAGCTGGCTAATACATTTTTCAATTACAATTTTCTTCATTAAACCCGTATTTTGTTATCGAGTATCTAGTATATAATATGTAGATCTATCGATTATCGCTCCAATGAAGTAGCTAATGCATTATTCTAATGCATAAGAGCGGCATATGGTCGTCTTGCTCGCACTTGTGTAAAACGCTATAGCGCTGTCAAATCTTTAATGAAGTCTCTAATTAATGCGGCAGTGTCATGCCAGTATAAGGGGTTACATCATTAAAATTTGTAAAAATTGCTCAATTTTTGAATTTTTAAAAATATTAAATTAAGATTGCAGATTGATAACTTAATTAAAAACTAGCACAAAACTGTTTTCAAAATTGAATTTGATGGATTTTTGGCCGAGTTAGGGATTTTTACAATTTTGATTTTTTCCGAAAAATTTATATTTTTTCCTGTTGTAGCAACCCCTCTCCTGTTAGTTGTATTTGTAATGTTCTATAATAAATTTTAAATGAAATAAAACAATTAATTAAAACGTATAAAATGTTATATTTATTTACAAAACAATTTGTTTAAAAAAAAAAATGGCCATATACTCGTGTACAAACGAACGTATTTACAGCGGAAATTACACAAGATAAATGCAAACAGAAAATAAAATAAATACGAGACTGCGACTAGGACTAAATTTGACTATGACTAAAACGTATTTTCAGGCCTCCGAGAAGTCGTTATCGTAGGCGTGGTTGCGATAGGCTCCATGACCCGGTTCCGCCTCCATGCCGCTGGGCCGCCACGGCTGCTTGTCCGCCGTCACGCAACGATTTTGCTTTGGCGCCTGGAGATCCTCATTATGCTCCTGCACCTCATCCTCCTCGAGATCCTTCGACTGATCCCTGTACTGATAGCTGCGGGCCAGCCACAGGAAGACCAGCATGTCGACCAGCATCAGGCAGGCAAAGAACGTAAACTCACCGGCCTGGGTGCTGGTGAACTTGAACTCAGCTATCACCACCACCAGCATGTTGCCAACGGCCACCGATAGCAGCCAGCAGGCCTGGAGCACACTCTTCATGCTGGCCGGTGCCTGGGAGTAGGAGAACTCCAGTCCCGTCACCGAGAACATCACTTCGGCGGCGGTCATAACCACTATTTGGGGTAGCTGCCAGAGTATGGACACGGCACTGGGGCCCACCACCTCCAACAGCTTGTACTGGTAACCGTCGCGGGCATTCCCCGCCACCAGCAGGCTGTAGAGACGGCCGCCTTTAGCCTCAAAGCTGGCCGCCTTAAGGCCGTTTATGTTGACCTGACCCTGGCCGGCGGCGATGCTGTGCAGCTGCGACACATTCCGGTTGTCCAGCGAGAGGGCTTTGGTGTCCGAATTCGAGGTGGAGAGCCGGATGGGTCCCTCTTCGGGTGGCGTATTCAGTAGCGCTCGGATCAGCGGAGGACTGCTTTCGCTGGTGGCCATTTCCAGGCCATCGGTAAACTCTACGAGCTTGTCCTGGGCCAGAAAGTAGCCCAGGGATTTACCCGGCTGCAGACGTAGTTTACCGGTAATAGTGGAACACTTGCCCGTTATGGGCTGCGCCTTGAAAGAGTACTCCTTGGCCTTGGGCACGGGCAGGTAGAGATCCGTCCACATGCCCAGGGCTTCGATGGTTTTCGGGTGTTTCGATTCAATGTCACTGGTAAACTCAAAGCCACAGGGCATTCCATTGTACAGACGTAGATGCGCAGTGCCCGGTTCCGTGGGCTGAACCTCAAAGGCTGCCTGCTGCATCTTCAGCTCGAGGCCAGCGGAGAGAAAGAATCCCAGAGCGGCCAAAATCAGGCCAATGGTGAGCTTCTGGAGGTGCCTTCGTATCCCAATCGTCCGCAGAATGGGGTAAATCACATAGTCGAAGAGCGGCAGAAAGGCCAGGATGAGCAGCGGGTTGACCACCTGCATCTGATCGGGTTTAATTTGAAAGCCCAGCACTGTGCCGTCCATGCGGGTGGCCTGGAAGGTCCAACGCGAGCCCTGCTGGTCAAACAGGGCCCAGAAGACGGGGAAGGGCAGGTAGAGGCGTAGAATCCGCAGCAGCGTCTTTGTCTCCCTAACCATCTTCTCACCCACCGTGGGTTTGGCATAGTCTAGAAAGCTCTCCTGCGGCTCTGTATTGCGGCGCTTTTTCCATCCTCGGAACGCGTCTACGATGCACTGCGTCACGCCAAAGATCATGTTACCCGCCGGCGGCTGGCAACGATACATCCGCTTGCCGGCCATAAAGATGAGCACGGAGATGATCATAAGCACTGCGGGTACACCAAAGGCCAGTGAGAAACAATCCTTGTCCCCAAAACAGTGGACATCGGCTCGCAGTATAGGTGTCACTGTGGTGGAGATCATGGAGCCGGCATTGATGGCAAAGTAAAAGAGCGAGAAGAACTTGGCCAGCTGCTGGGCTTGGGCGGGCAGGGAGAACTGATCGCCGCCAAAGGCCGAAACACAGGGCTTAATCCCGCCCGTGCCCATGGCAATCAATAGCAGTCCCACAATGGTCACAGCTCTGTGAGAAAAAAGAGAGATTATCTTTAGTGATTTTGTACATTTTTCAAAAGCTTAATATTGAAACTCACTTGACGGGCATACCCTCCAGGGGCACCGCACCAAAGGCCACTATCATGGCTCCGAGACTGTAGACCAGCGACAGATACAGTATCGTCTTGTACTTGCCCAGCCAGCTATCGGCAATGAGGGCTCCGATCAGGGGGAAAATGTACACCAGCATGGTGAAGGTGTGGAAGAGCACCGTTGAGGTCTCCTCGTTGTAGCCCAGCTTGTTGGTAAGATACAGCACCAGAATGGCTACAAGGGAGGGAATAGAGATGTTTATTAGGAGAAGATGATTATAAGAAGATGATTATTAGGAGATGAATATAAGAAGATGATTATTTGGAGATGATTATTAGAAGATGATTATTAGAAGATGAATATTAGAAGATGATTATTAGAAGATGATTATAAGAAGATGATTATTTGGAGATGATTATTAAAAGATTTAGGGGTTTATGGTATCATCATGGAAATACTTACTGCGCATGCCATAGTAGTTGAAGCGCTCACAGAACTCATTGCTGATAATAAAGGCCACCGATTTGGGATATGGGAGGGGTGTGGATGCCTGTGATTGAACAATGTTTTCTTTAAACAAAAAATTATACATTTGGAAAAGCCGCTTAAAAAATTCGCTAAAATTTGGATGATCTTAAAGATACACAATTAGACTTTGAAAGCTCAAAGAATAATCTTTCTTTTTTAGTGTTTAATTATATTATAATTCTTTCTTAGGCGATACCTATAAAATTATAGTGAGCATAATATATTAAAATCAAACATTGTTTTTTATTTTTTTACTTATAATTTTTACGGTCCCTAAAAACACACTTAAAAAACCACAACTTTAAAGAATTTACTTAAGCTCAACCTCAACTCTTTCGAGACTTTACACATCCCATTGTCCCGAGCTGCCAGTCTAGGGCTGTACCACTTTCTACCCAATACCTGGCTTTTGTTTAAATGGCTTAGGTTTCAACCGTTTTTTTGTTGTTAACTTTGGTGTCATAAATTGTACACTTTATGTAAAGTTTGTAACTCGCAAAAAAAAAAAACAAAGCTAATTATTGTGTTTCCATATTTTATCTTTGTTGGGTAGGAATTACTGGCTTGTCCAAGTGTTTGCAAATTTCTAAAATTAATAAATTATTGTCTTAAAAGAGTTTTTGTCAAGAAATCATTTTTAAAGAAACGTTAAATTATACAAAAATATATATATTTTTAATATCTTTCCAAGATTTTTTTACCACAAATATATATAAAATTGTTACATAAATATATTTAATATATCTCTAAGTTTTCTTCATTATAAATATATTTTTTAAAATTAAAATTTCCATATTTTTTAAATTTAACTAAGTTTTTTACTTTAGTAAAGTTGAAAAAACATGAAATGTATATTTTGGAATTATATTTGTGCTAAAGGAATCTAAAAGAGACATTCAAAGTATTTATGTAATTTTTCAATATTACTCCAATAAAGATTTCTTGACAGGCAAATAAATCCTCTAAGAAATTCTTAACAAGATTATTTATCCAGGAACATTTTAGTAACCGGATTTATGATTAAGAAAGCACTTAAGAGAGATATTAAATAAGTTTTTGTGGATATAATAAGTAGATTGAGGGACCTACCAATTATATGTAAAAAAAAATATATTTAAAATCTCTTCAAAACGGTTTCCTTATGATCTTCCGATCCTTCCTCGGAGTCTCAAACTCAGGTTAGAGTACCTAAAGGTTCGGTTTGATCTAGGGATAGGGTATAGGGTTACTCTTATCTTCCCTAAGCTTATTCTCATGGTAATTGCGGCTCCGTTTCGTCTCGTTTCTCATTTTCGTTGCGGCTTTCGATTTTTGTTGTGTTTAGCAGGGTTTGTTTTGTTTGGTTTTCGCTTTTTGCTAGTCTCTAGTCTCTATTGGCTTTTTGTTTTGATTTGCCGCGTCTCTTGGCCAAGGTGAGCAACGGAATGCAAACGGGTTTTGTCTGCCAGCAGGTGATCCATTGATGATTGAGAATTCTTCGCACATCGCACAGCCTAGGTCGGCATCGGAGCCTCTCTCCGAGCTGTGCTGCTGCTGCTGCTGCCACTCACCGTTGCTGATTTGCAATTCTCCGGGCCAACTGCAGTGCCCACAAATGCCATAATCGCAGCTGTTTGCGTAACACTAGCTCTGGTATCCTATTTTGGGCAGATTTCAATGGGACCTCCAAAGATCAAACAGAACGGAGATATATGTAGTTATAGACTTGGTCCGGCGGAGGCAGCGTTCGGTATCGAACTAAGAAGCCACCGGGGCTGGGCCCAAGCTTTAAAGTTCGATTTCTCGGCTTCTCTTCGCATATATCTATCTCCCCCTTTCTCTTGGCCGCGAAAACAGTTGTTAAATGAATTAACAAACAATGAAGCGGAGAATCGGAATGGACAGTAGCTGGGCGGGCTGAGAGCTGGGAGCGGGAAGAATCGCTACAGCTGATTACCGCCATGTGAGCAGCTGATGATGATGATGGTCTAAGATTTGTCTATCGAGACGGGATAGTTCCGGGAGAGTGGGGGCATCCCCCGAAAAAAAGCTCGGGGTAATTGCATTCGCGTGGCTGGGCCTGCGAAGTGGGTCAGCAACATTAATACCCTATCAGAGAACCCAAAGGCTCTCAGGGTCCATTGAAAGTTAAGATCAAGAAATGAGAGGGTAGAGAACTAAACAGAATATTTACCAGTATTCCTAGATATTTATCAAAACAATGTATATAAATACTATAAATTGCAAAATTAATAGAAAAATAGCTTTATCAAATGATATCAATTAAATTATCAAAAACAATAAAGAAAACAAACAACAATTTTTGAGAAATTTTAAAGATGTAACCTAACCCCCTTATAAAAAACTTAGTTTTCCTAAATTTTAAAAATTCTTTAACTCGGCCAAAAATGCATTAAATTCCATTTGGAAAGCAGGTTTGCCTTAGTTTTTATAAGGATAAAAAAGCTGCATACTACATTTTATGGGTTTTTCAATTTAATTTTTTGAACAATTTTCACTATTTTAACGAAATTATGAAATTTTGAAAAAATAGCCCATAAATATTTTTTTCTCTGGACACTGCTTAAAAGATTCGCTTTTGATGCTGATCAAGAATATATATGATTTATAGGGTCGGAAATGACTCCTTCATAGCTTTGCAAGCTTTTATACCCATCAAGGGTATCAAAAAGGGTTAGATATTATCAAGAAAAATCGAAAATAAATATGTGATTTAATAACTCTCTTCTGGGATTATTTTGTATTATTTTTAAGTTTAATTGTTAAATATTATTGTATACTTTCTTGTCAAGCGCTACTTGGCTTATAAATTAATTCTTGTAATCGAAATATGTGTGTATGTATGTACATATTGTATGTCCGATTATGCTAGAATTTGGCACGTGGCTAGAAAGGTGGTAAGAGACACGTTTTGGGGCAGTTTATCTTTTAAAGCTTTGGCTAATTACACTATCATTGGAGCTTCACTTACATCTTCTGTTCAAATTATGGATAAAAATATAACATTTCAAAGAGTATACACTGACTTTTCATCTTTCCAAGATTTCCCATTCGATTTTTGTTTTGATTTCAACTAACACTTGCCAATTGATTGAATTAATCAATTTGCAGGCAATAAAAGGATAGCGATATCGATATCGATATCGATTCGGTTGACATACATTTCGCGGGCGTTCAAGGTCGACAGCGCTGCGACGTCGCCGCTGCTGCGATCAGTAGCCTTGAGGCAGCACCAGCAGCAGCAGCAGCGGCAGCAAAGTCATTGGAACTTTGTGAGTTTCGCAGCTTCTTTTTCTGCTCATTACACGACAATTACACACGTACGTGTGTATGCTTTTGTGTGCACTGTACTTTCGGAATTGACAGAGGAAAGTTGAGTGATAATAAGCAGTCCGATCTCTCTCCTCCGCCTCCTCCTCCCACCACTCTCTCTGCTCTTTTTTTCTACATTGCGTTTGCCCTTCTTGTGTGTGTGTGTGTGTGCATCCCGTTTACCGTTCACTGGGGACTGGCGCTTTTTGCCACTTACCAAATTCTTTGAATTCGCCTCCAATTCTTTTTCCACTTGCTCCTGCGCTTTGGCATTACCACCGCTTTTACCGTTACTAATTGCAGCCATTTTGGCTGAGACAGAAAGACAAATAACAAAAAACGGAGATCACAAAAGGTTTTTGATTTTTCGCAAAACTTCCAAAACAGGTGTAATTAAGATGCGCGCGGGGGGTGGCGGCGCTGGCGGGTCTTAGGGCGGTGTAGGTTGATGAGGATGATGGCTACGTTGACATAAACGCCATAAAACGAACGCCGCCGCTGCCCGACGTCAAATGATGCTCTGCCGCTGCAAGCTGCGCTTTTAAAGCGAGCAGAGATGACGGCAGAGGCTGAGGTCCCCCCCAAAATAAAGAAAAATAAAACCCCCCACAAATCGAGCAAGAACAAAAATCAAATTAAATTTTTAGATAAACATGGGGAGAGTGTGTTGCGAGTGGAGAGAGAGAGAGGAGAGAGGAGAAGAGAGCAATGCTCGCTCAAACTTTGCTTTAAGCCGAGCTTCACTCTCGGTTTAAACTGGTGCTCTCTACACTGCAAATAATGGGGGGATGAGATAAAATGTTGGCTTAGTTTGAGTCTATTTTAAGTTTGCCTCTAAGATCCAATATCAAACTGCAATTAGAAGTTTGCTTCATTTCTTGTACTTTTTTTTATAACTTTCTTAAAGAAATTTCCATCAGTGTAGCTTCTTTTTACATTTCTCTTTGGGGGATCAGCAGTGCATTTCAGCCTGCATCGTTTCCTGCCTCCTCTTTTGTGGAAAGCTCTCACACAGTCAAGTTCAATGCTATTCAAATGCCAACAACAATGCCAGGTTGTGTGTGTCTGTGGCGTTTAGAATTACTGGATAAGACACCGATTAGCATTATCGCTCTCGGAGTTTCCGTAATTGAATGGGTGGCTGGCTGGCTGGCTGGTAGTCCAGTGGGAACAGCTGCTAGCTTGTCATATTTTTCACATAAAAAGATTGACAAACATGTGTACTTTCTAGGATATTTGAGTGAAATTTTTATAAAGCATACACATATATTTTTTATATGTGTTGTTATCCATTTCTAGAGGAACACTATTTGCTCACACTTTTCTCGAAAGAGGGTCCAGGTCCACAACATTGATTAAGATTATTTTCAACCTTATCTCTTGGTACAAATTTCCAAGAATAGAGTTCTTGCCACATAACTGTTCTTTGTTCAAGCGATTTATCTGTCAGATAACTTAATTCCTAACCATAATATTTTTTTAGTTCTTTTTTTGTTTACCTTTAAAATTTCAATTTTTAACCATTAATTAAGAACCAATTTCTTTTTTTCTTATCTATTTACAAAGCTAATCCCCTAGTTTTTCGCTTTCGTAGAACTAGCAAATACAATCGCAGCTCTGGGATCTATCTTATCTCCCTTCGATCCTACCTGATATCTGTTGATCGTTTGAGTGCCAAAGTGTGGCGTTATCTGTGTTTGTTTTCTTTATGGCTTTTGAGTAATTTGTGGGCATTTCCCAGGCAGTCATAAATCTATCCTGCTGTAAAGATTTATGATCTCGTATTAGGCTTTTGTTTCGCATCGAGATTACTGAGGTTTTTCACTTAAATTGGGGGATTGCGATCGAGGGGTTTGTAATAAAACTCACTTGTTTCACATCATCACTATTATCATTCGTCATACAGCTTATAGATTCCCTTAAACGAGTTTTCTGGTATTTGGTCTTCTTCCTCACAGAACTTGTCAACTTTTCTTGGGTTTTAAAAGGTGTTCAAAGGGTTTGTATTTTGAAAAGATGCATTCTACTCACTCTGGTCAAGACCCGAGCTAAAACAATGATAAGACTGAGGGGAAAAACTTCGATTCTGGTGTTGATACATACTTGAGACAACTTAAACAAAGCTCATGAGCACAACATGGAGTTTTTCTAGTAGAAAAATGTATTGTTACACTGCCTACTTAGTTTCCCAAACTAATCATCTTAATTTATCGGATGAGAACATTCCCTGGAATGTTGTGTTTTATAAAGAGAACTAAATGGAATAAGTTAAAATGCCTAACGACATGCAATCCCCATTACACTGTGTGTGTGCAAATCCAATCAATTGGACAAACAGGCAACCCACCAGTTATCAGCATCGATATTTTTGGGACCCACGAGCGCCGCGTGTTATCACAACGCCCACTTGAGACATTGTCCTACAAATGCAATCGACTTTGGTAAGTAACTGTATCTACAAACGATGACAAAGTATCTGCGTTTCGTAGATTCCCTAGATCCATGGACAATCTGGCCAGCGATTAATATTTATTGGCCTGGGTTACTTAATCGGCACACGGAGCGGTTTAGCAAGCTCATGTTGGATTGACTTCGATCTAACCTAATCTAATCTTATCACCTGATCACCTGACCATCAGCAAGAGGTCCCCGGGATAGGATCTTGCTTCACTATGATAGCAGCACCGGGGGTGTACTTATACATATCGAGAGGCAAAGTCCTATAAAATATATTGACAAAAATATAAATATATCGAAAGAATGTTCTGTTAAATGTTAATGTAAGACCGAGTATTGATATTTAGATATTCCTAAATATAATTCCTTGGGAATAAAGTAATTAGTTCCTAATACTTTTGTTTTATTCATGTAAAATCCAAACAAATTTGTTCTTAAATCTGCTACATCATCGGCTCTTTGTTTGTGGCATTTCCTCATCGAGATCTGTGGACGTGTTCTGTGTACTATTATATAGCCTATTGGCCTGGGAATTGCATTCCTCGGGCCAGTTGATAGCCATATCTTTATGTGTGTCGACACGCAATCCGATCGATCGATCGACTTGGCACACAGCGCGTTGTCTTGATGGCTTTAATTAAGTGTTACTCAATCTATCGATCGCATAGCTTGCACTTTGAAGACTAGACACCATGCAATCTCGAGCCAAATGACAATCGTAAAATCGAAAGCAAGAAGCAAAACAAAAAAGGTTCACTTATGGCCCAGCCACACAATACATACTAATGACATGAACAATTATCAACAATAACAATAACAATAACCCGGGGTATATCAGCTATGGCCAATAGATGTTTATACTTGTTTCTGGGCATGGCTAATAATGATAGCCGTCCATAAATACTATTCGCAGCAATCGCTCTTGGCCCGGCATAGCGATTAAGTTCATAAAACAAAAAAACCGACACGAGTTTTGGGTTCGAGTCCGATTAGATGGCAATCGGTTATGGGTTTAGGGGGGTTAAAACAGTTGGGGCTAGGGGTTAAGCGGAAAATCCCTTTCTGTGTAGGGACTTTAGTTCTTGCCTAATCATTCTTTATCAATTTTACCCTTTTTAACTTCAAAGTATTTGAATCAAATCGTATTTTCTTAGATAAAAATTATGTCAAATCATTTTTTGAACTCCAAAGTAGTTCATTGTTATAAATTCAAATGAAACAATCAAAATAAGCCTGGTCTTTCCAAAATTGTCATAATTATTATCTTCAAGTGACACTAAATATTGCCAATCATTTTGGGTCTTAATATTATTTATTTACGCACTGAAAAATAGGAAACCACAAGGTTTATGCAGGATCTATTTATGCAATAAAGCCTAGACTTTAAAAATTTAAGAAATACATACCTTAATTTATAATTTCCTAGAATTTTAATATAACCTTTCAATTTCCTTCAAAAAATATTAAATACAATATTAAATTCACCTCCAACTTGCATGCATAAACCCCGTAGCTATCTTATTCCTTATCACTAGGCCATATACTATAGAATAGACTTTTCGATTCATGACTGCGGAATGGTATAGTGAAACAGTGTCTGGGACCCTCTCATCCTCTAGATCTGCCAGTAATGGCCAACGAAGATAACTAGTAAGAGCGTCGAAAATATTTAGTTAATGACTAGGCACTCATTGCAACGCCCATCTGGTTAATAACAGACAGGGCGTGGCACTAGCGATAAGCAGGCCGCTTAAGCAGTTGAAAAAGCAATTGTGATGGACGATGATCTGGCATTGACAGGTGTACACTGAGCGGAAAAATTAGATATTCGATATATAAAAAGTGCGAAGATTGCAGAATATGAATTTTATTTAATTTCCTTAATCAAATCTTTAAATTAGAATCTATAAATCGATATTTTTATATAAAAATATTTTAAGGCAAATCATAGTTTAATAAAATCATAACTAAGCCAAAAATACATTAATTTTAATTCGGAAAGCATTTCTGTGCTAAAAAATCTGCATACTACATTTTAGGGTTTTTTCTATTTACTTTTTCGTCAATTTCTGACAATTTTGACGATGTAACCCCTTAAAAAATTAAAAAAAAACAGGCTAAATTTTTTTTTGCCAAACCAGGCTAGATTGACTTCGCTGTTGATGCTGATCAAGAATATATATGAATTATAGGGTAGAAAAGGAATCCTTCACAGCGTAACTAGCTTCTGACTGAAATTATTATACCCTCAAAAGGGTATAACAATTTTAATAATTATTAATAATTTAATGTGGTTTGAAAAAGTAAAACCTTAAAATATCATAGCTCAGTATTCATTTCAATTCGGAAAACAGTTCTAAGCTAGTTTAGGTTAATAAGTGAAGGATAAATATAACTCTCTCGTTCGCTACTTAGTGAAGCGCTTGAACATTGCAGGCAAAGCATCCAAGAGATTTCTCCAAATTCCCAAAATTAATATACTACTTTTACTCGTTTATCCAATTACAGTGACATATTCTCAGTTATATATAGTATATTCATTCCCAGTGTAGTGGTAACACAAAAAAAAAGGACGGTAACGGTAGGAACTCGGCTATATGGCCATAAATAACAGGCGAGAGGCAAGCGAGCGAGGCTGGCGCGGATCCATTCATTGTGGGTAAGCGAACACCGGGGTCGTAAATACTTCCAACCGCTGTCGATAACATTTCCGAGCTGCGATTACGATTAGGCTTATCGCATTTCACTTATCGCTGTTAACTTAACGCTTTTTTGTCATCCTTTCAAGTGTGGACGTCGCCGTCGCCGTCGACGCCAGCAGCACGCGTGCAGTCGCCGCGGGCAGAGGGCAGGGCCGGGCAGAGCCGTTAACGGCTTCTTGTTGCCGGCGATCGACTTTAGTCTGAGGCTGTTGATCGCCGCTGGCGGACTTAAGGCGCGCATTAAATCGATCAATACTGATCGATACCGTCGTCTCCGTACATATATATTTTTTTGCAGTTTTTTGGTTTTCAATGTTTTAATGTGAGTTACAAGAGAGTGCGCGACATAAAAGCAAAGACGGTAATACGCGAGCGAGAGTAACGACATGCCAAAAAGAATCTGTGCTCCAAACCCAACTTGGTCAGAGAAAACTGAAAGACTTTACTCAAAAAAACCAGTCAACAAAGCCGTTAAAAGCACTTTCTTCAAAGACAAAAATAAAAAATTAAAAATAATAATAATCTATTAAAACTGAATGTTATAAAACTCAAAGTGTTGTTTTAACTTCTGAGGGTTTCAAAACTATTGTTATAATATACATAAATACTTTAAAAACCTGGAAAATAATTGTTTTATGGAACTAACGATTTCAATTCGTAAAAGTTAAATGTTTTTCCAGCACAATCTATTAGTAAAAATAAATCCAAAAAAGAGGAAATAAATAATTTTAAAAACCCAAAAAAATTATTGAAATTTTACATGTTTTTCATAAGGGAGTATTTATTTAAATTAATAAATAACTTTATATCTATTTAAAAAAAACACAAAACTATTTTATTAAAATATGTTATATGGAAATATTTTAAATCACAAATATTAAATGTTTTCTCAGCTTAAAATTATAATTAAAAATTATAATTATAGTTATGAGATTATAGAATTATTTTAAAATCTTGAAAATAACCATAGTTCTCAAAGTTTTTAATAAGAAATATTTTAAAATTATCTGGAAATTTTGAAACTCAATACAATTTTTAAATGGAAAATCTAAGACTCATACTTGCTTTGTTTACAAATTAAAATTTAAAAATCGCCAAATATAATTGCTAGTATTTTACATATTTAAAAGTCTTAAAGATGTTTTTTTAAGGAATTTTAATTTATAAACAAATAAATAATTAATTAAAAAACTATTGTAAAGTAAATGTAATCGGCCTGGTATTCAAAAAACAAAATATTTCATGTTACTGACCGCTTTGTTGGCAAAGGATTATTACTGTTTTGTTTTCGCCAAGCCCGTACTTATATATATAGATACTCTGTTGTTTCACAATGCAAATAAAATACAATAAATATGTCTTCTTTTTTTTTTTTTTGGAGCTGGAAATGTTTATGCAACCGTCGCCCCTTTTCGTACAATAATCATTTTCACAAAAATAAATATCATAAAAAAAATATATATATATTTCTCTTCGATTTCAAGTGACGCGTAACGGATGCAAAGCGAGCTGCGAGCCCAAAAATGACGGATCAAGAAAATGGTATTACTCAAAATAATTATTAATAATTAGAAATAGTCATAGTAGTTATAATTATAGAGATCATTGAACTGAATAGGGGAAGACCTACATTTCTAAACTTTTGGCAAAGCTATTTTATATTTACTTTTCATTTCCAAAGCAGTCTCTATTATATGGCATAGTAGTGACTTTAATTATTTTATTGCGTCTAATTTCAATTGCCTCGATATATCGATGAGTGAATGAATTGCATTTTGCCCGTGTTGAGGTCATTATAAGGGAATTCACTCAATAAATCTTCACTCCAACAACTAGAAATCGAAACAAGGCTTAAAGCCATTTTCCACATTTTTGGAATTGTAAATAATGTAACAAGTGCCTCTTTTGGGGTTAAGGAAGTGCCAGAGATTGTCCTTAGGTTTTATTTAATTTATAACACCCCAAAAGGAAAAGAAAATTTTTATATTTAGGCCGTTGGGTAACGGACGTTTCAAGTTGTAAAGATTAACCGATATCTGGGGACACTTGTTGGCAAGAGGCATTAGCGGGAAATGACGACTCTCTCGATTCTTGATTCTATATTCTCGATGTTCGTGTGCACTACGCAAATCTAATCTCTCCGATAACAAACATCGAGTGGCTGGGCTTTAGCACCTTGCCCCCCTTCTTCATGTTTTTTTTTTTTTTTTTGCCACTTGAGTTGGTGGTTCGTTGTGGCCCAAATGCGTGGATTACCTGTGCCAATTTTGGGTCGACCCAAATCGATTTGATTTTTTGTATAATTACGATACTGCATTTCAATGTCAGCGCCAAGCCAAGCTCAAGTCACACTCACAGTCAAAGTCTCATTTGCATATTCATAGACTCATAGGCTGGCAGGCAGCGGGTGTTCACTATGACTAAATCGGGCTAAAAAGCACTGCGATTGCGATTGGGTTTGGCTTTTGGTATTCCCCCAACAATTACATGCACATATATAGTGAGGGAAATTACTAAGTAATTTTTTGTTTCGGCATTCCATCGTATTCGAAACTTAGTTCCAGAAATCACTATCGAATGTCGGCGCAAACAAAACAAGACAATCAACGTTGTGCTACTGAAATATAACACAACCGATAACTACACCAACTTTTATCTAACAGATACAATTCCACTTCTGAAAACAGACTCCCATCATTAATTAATTAAAAAATGGTAGGGAGCTCTTCCTTCTTTTGAAATTCTTATCAATTCAATCGCTTGTAAATCAGCTTAGGTTTCTGGGAAACCAGCTGGAATCTATCCCAAATGGGTCTGGGCTTGTGGCCTATTTATAATCGAATCGGGGGGTTTTAGCGATAGTACAGGCATTGAATGCGTCATGTCATTTAGTTTTAGTTTTGGCTTAGATCTGCGGCTCAATAAATATTGCAGGGAAAGGTTTTTAGGCCTAGTTTTCAGACAAGTCCTAACTTTTGCAACATTACATTTCCAATAGACCTGCAAAAAAATCGATTGATCGTTTTTTTTTTCAATTTTGCGATAGATTGATATACATTTTAATAATCGATTTAATCTTGCTGCTCTTGAATCTTTAAGATTAATTTACAATTTGCAAATTATAAGATCTATCCTATAATATTACCCAACTCTATAGATTTACCTAAATAAATAAATATAAAAATAAAACAATAAGCATTCCATAAAATATAAGATTTCTCTTTCACACTTTCACCATATGATATTACCCAACTTTATAGATCTGTCTATCTATCTATCCTTTAACCTTTTAATCAATCAATTATGTACTTTTTAAACCCAAAATCTTTTAAAAAACCCATTATAAAATCCCGTGAAAGTGAAATCGAGAACACTCCTCCACTTTCGCCTCCGAGCAGCTGCCTTATCTAATTACTCATAATAAAAATAAAAAAAAAACGCAAGACATTCGAGAGTCTTGATCTTTGGGATTCCTTATGGAAGCTTTTCGTAGTAACTTTTTCTTACACCCAAGATCATGCCCAATAGGTACTCCTGGGCAGCGACATTGACACAGATCCCCCCTCCTGACGTACGATTAAGTGCCGTGAATGAATGAATGTGTACTCAAAGTACTCAAAGCTATAGAGAAGTAGATTGGGCCCGACTTCAAACAGCCACCGCAGCGGGTCAATGCTGTACACGTCGTCGGACGTACCTATGATAAGGCCATTTTATGTTAATGGATGTCTGATGTGGAATGGTGCGTGCAATGGCGTTGTTTCCCTGCTTTATTACAGCCATAAAAACACTGATAAAGCATCGATGGATTAACCCCGAAAAACGAATTTTTGGATTGTACCTAAGGTTAGATAAGGTATTTGATCAATTCCTGACTTGTTTCCTGATTGGAATCCCTCAATGGTACATGGTCATGACCATTTAAGCCTATCCAGACATCATCATCATCATCATCATGAACAGCAGCCTCATCTGTTGATTTATGGAGTGAAGAGCCATAGTTGTGACGAGAGATCTCCTCCAGTTGGTTTATCTATCCTACTGGGCTCGTAAACCACACGCTCTCCTCCCGGTTAATGCTTGTAAATTTATGCCGGCCACTGAATTCACACGCCCACGGGCTTTGGCTTGGGTCCAAATATAGAGCAGTCCTTATCTGCGTCAGAGGTGTCAAGCACAAGGCCACAAAGTCTCGTCTTGTCTCTCAATTCTCCGTTTACCCGTTCTGATGAAATGTGGGTATAGCTAGCTAGAATCTCGAGATCACTTTCCAGATCAGTTAACAGACGAAATGGAACAGCCAGCGGAGGAAGTGCCCCTTCTGGGTGGGATGTCCTCTTAATTTAGTGAATTTTTATATCCTTGATACGTTTTCTGATATCTTCTTATTTCGCCTCCTCAGAAATAAAGCCCGCGGCTGAGCCAGCGGCTTCTGCTCCTGAGGATTCAACATCCACAGCTGAGGCTACTCCTGCTGCAGTAGATGTCCAAGATGCTTCTGCAGACATCATCACACCAACTGCTGCCCCTATTGTGGAAGACTCAAGCACAGCTGAGGTTACTAATGATAAACCCGCTGTAGAGACCAATGGCAAGGCCTTGGCGGAGGCCAAGAAGTTGCCCGAAGTGTCGCAGAAAAATGGCAAGGAGCTGGAGAAGAATGGCAAGGAACTCCAAGAGGTTGACAATGAATTCAAGAACGTGTCCGAGGCTGAGGGTCAGCAGAAGGTGAGTTTAGGTCCATCACTTTAAACCAGGGTTTATCTTATCCTCTTTTGGTTTTTATTTTATCATCTACAGAAACTGCCCTACCCCAAGTCCGTGTTCTTCATCATAAGCAACGAGTTTTGCGAGCGCTTCAACTACTATGGAATGAGAAGTGAGTATCCCTTAACCCTCTAGTGTCACTTTCCACAATAAAGGAAAAAAATTAAATGAAATAATGATTTGGAATTGTGATAACCCCTTACCAAAACCAGGACTAAACCTTGATCTCTCTCTCTCTCTCTCTTAATCTTCTTTCAGCTGTTTTGGTCCTGTATCTGAGTCGAGTTTTGGGCTATTCCGATGACCTCGCCACCGTGGTCTTCCACATCTTTACCATGTTCGTTTACTTCCTGTGCGTTTTCGGTGCCATTATCTCGGACTCTTGGCTGGGCAAATTCAAGACAATCCTTTATCTATCCATGGTGTATATATGCGGTTCAGTCCTGTTGACCCTCGGTGCCATTGGTCCACTCAATCTGCCTGTTGAGACATTTACCATGCTGGGTTTGGCCCTTATAGCCCTCGGTTCTGGTGGCATTAAACCGTGTGTATCGGCCTTTGGTGGCGATCAGTTCAAGGTGCCCGAACAGGTGAAGCAAATCACCTCGTTCTTCTCGCTCTTTTACTTTTCGATCAATGCCGGTTCACTGATCTCCACCACGGTTACCCCCATTCTGCGCGAAGATGTCTCCTGCTTCGATGACATCAATTGCTATCCCTTGGCCTTTGGTGTACCCGCTGTTTTAATGATCGTCTCGGTGATCATCTTTGTGCTGGGACGATCGCTGTACAAGATGAAGCCACCGGCTGGCAATATGGTTGTGTTGGTGAGCAGCACCATTTGGACTGCTTTGACAACCAAGTGCAAGGAGAAGAAGACAAATCCCCGCGAGCATTGGCTGGACTATGCCGATGTCAAGTACGATCGCCAGTTGATCGATGATGTCAAGGTGCTGATGCGTGTTTTGTTCCTGTACCTGCCGCTGCCTGTGTTCTGGGCACTGTTCGATCAGCAGGGCTCTCGTTGGACCTTCCAGGCCACTCGCATGGACGGCGACATGGGCGCCTGGGACATCAAACCCGATCAGCTGCAAGTGCTGAATCCTCTGCTCATCCTGCTCTTTATTCCCCTGTACGATGTGGCCTTCTATCCGGCTTTGAAACTCGTTGGCATTTCGCGGCCTCTGCAGAAGCTCACCATGGGCGGCATTTTGGCCGGCGTGGCCTTCATCATTTCCGGAGTGGTGGAGCTTAATTTGGAGGTGAGTTGAGAGAGAGAGAGGGAGTTCTACCGTATTTTGTTTTGTATTTGCTTTTGCACCTGCACCTTTTTCCCCACTCTTTTCTTCTCGTTGCACGCTTGCTGTTGCCTTGTCGAATGTCGTAGAAAACCTATCCCGACCTGCCCTACAGCCACAATGTCCAGCTGCGCATCTTCAATACCGAGAACTGCGCGTACACTCTCTCTGGGACCCTAAACGGAAATCAGCTGGAACCCTTCCAGGTGCCGGCATTGAATGTCTACACGGACAAGGATTTGTATGTGGAGAACACGGCGAATCTGATCTACACACTGACCAGCGATGTGGAAGGTTGTGCCGGATACACTGGCAACCAGTTGCTGACCCAGGAGACGGCCTGGTCGCTGTTCCTCAATCCCCAGAATGCCAGCTCCACGCAATACTGGGAGAAGGACTTTGTGGACAAGCCCAGCGAGAGTCATCCGCTCATCCGAAATGTGGCCAATATTGATCCCACGCAGAAGGTGGTGTGGCGTAGTGTCTCCAAAAACGAGGTGGTCTACGATGATTTCGCCAACGAGACACTTCTCACCCGCGTCAACTCCGGCGAATATGCGGTCTTCGTTGGAGACTCTAATATTGGAACCTTTAATGTCCACACGGGAGGCGTTTACACGCTCCTCATTATCCCCAATTCGGCTGGAACTTATACGACCAATCTGGTGACGGTGACGGAACCCAATTCGATGAATATCCTTTGGCTGATCCCCCAATATGTGATCATGACCTTGGGCGAGGTGATGTTCTCAGTGACGGGTCTGGAATTCTCCTATGCCCAGGCTCCGCCCAGCATGAAGAGTGTTCTGCAGGCCTGCTGGCTGCTGACCGTTGCCTTTGGCAATGTCATTGTGGTCATCATTGCCGAGGCCGCTTTGTTTGAGTCGCAGGCCAGTGAGTTCTTCCTGTTTGCCGGCCTCATGTTCGCCGACATGCTGCTCTTTATGGTGATGGCCTACTACTATGTACCGAACAATCCCAATAAGAGTGACGAAGAGATTCAACCGCTGACTGGTGGAGATGGCGATGCCAAGACCGAGATTCCCGCCCTTGAGGGCGGTGTCGAGAACAAGGGCAAGGACATCAAGGAGAGCGAATAGAGGATCGCTCCGAATTTAGTCTGATCTAATCCTGCTCGCTCCCGCGTTGTGTGTATTATATGTATTTGTATTTGTATTTGTAGATGTGTATATGTGAATCCTTAGTGGCTTCTGTCCATAACCAGGCTAAGTGTAAGTGAAGCCCCAACTGGGGCGGCGTTGTTGCATATGACAAGACATCCAATTTAGTTAAAATAATAAAAGAAAACTATTGATACAATTTATGGCTCTCCTCTATATTTTCTGCTCCTGCTTAATGGCTTGTGTAATCAGTGTGCTTTCTATCTTGGCTAGGGTGTTCCTAACCACAAAAGAAACGAGAGAAATAACCAAAAAGAAAAGCTTACTTTGGCATCCCGGAGGTTTTATACCCTTGCAGCTTGTAAAGAATCGCCTGTTAATGCTGATCAAGAAGGGTCGGAAACGACTCCTTCGCAGCGTTCCAAACTTCTTACTAAAATCATAATACCCTGCAAGGGCTTAAAAATCAAAGGATATTGGTTCTTCGGCTAAGTTGAATCTCTCCTGCTTTCAGCACACTTATCCCCTGATCCCCAGCAGTGGCAATACCCAGCTGCGTGTCTTTAGCGGCGTTCCCGACTGCGAGTATCGCTTCAACACCAATCTGGGCGCTCGCGAAAGCTTCAGGCTAAGCGGACTGGACACCTACTCCTCGGGCAGCCTGGCCACGAGCACGGATGGCACCTTCACCCTCACCTATACCGTGGAGACGCTCACAGAAGGTAACCCCAAAATTCTTTGGACCGAGAGTAATACTAATAAGAATCAGGCCATGACTTACCCCCCGTTGTCCTGATGTCTCCTTAGGTTGCACCGCTCTGGAGGGCGGTAGCCAGCAGCTATACGAGGCCACTGCCCACTCACTGTTCCTGCGTCCGGCCCATGCCATCCGGAAATATTGGTACGAGGACGATGTGCAGAAGTCCAATCGTTCGCAGGCCTTTGTCCGCACACTGGCCAATCTGCTGGCCACCACGCGTGTGGTGTGGACCGAGGATTCCACGGGATCGGTGGCCCTCGATCTGCCCGCACGCAATCATGATCTCTATGAACTACCCACCGGCAGTTACAGAGTCCAGGTCAATGGTCAGCTATTGGGCCAGATGGAGCTGCGGGCCGGCGGAGTCTATGCCTTGTTGGTTGGCCAGAGTCGCGAGGGTTTCGAGTCGCAATTGGTCGAGGTGACGGCGCCCAACTCGATGAGCATGCTGTGGCTGGTGCCGCAATATGTGGTGATGACCCTGGGCGAGGTGATGTTCTCGGTGACGGGGCTGGAGTTCTCCTATTCCCAGTCACCGCCCAGCATGAAGAGCGTGCTCCAGGCCTGCTGGCTGCTGACCGTCGCCTTTGGCAATGTCATCGTGGTCGTGGTGGCGGAGCTCAAGTTCTTTGAGTCGCAGGCCAGTGAGTTCTTTCTGTTTGCCGGCCTCATGTTCGTCGATATGCTGGTCTTTGTGGTGATTGCCTTTTACTATATTCCGTATGACGAGGAGGCAGCGCTGGCCGAGCGGCTGCGCCTGCGCCTGGAAGAGCGCGAGCGGGAGTGGCTGGATCTGGGCAGTTGCAAGGAGGACTAGCCACACCATCTATTGTATTTCGCACTTATTGTCACTGTATGTACACATAACTACACTTTTATTAAACAATATTTCAATAAGAGTACCGCAAATTCGTTTTTCTTGCGCCAAAACAATGAAACTGGAGATGGGGGAACAGTGATAGTTTAGGCGACTATCGATGTTTTTACAAGCGATAGTTAGCCGTTCCACATCGATACTAACACACAACCACCCACGTTCGCGCTTTCCAACACTGCCTTTACCGCATATGTAACCGCACAGAAATTGTTTTCCTTTCAGAAAATCAGCTCAAAGTCTATTAAAATCATGGCAGCCAGCACTAAACTGATGCTGAGCACCGGCCTCTACCAAAAGCTAAGCCAGGTGAGTAGATTCTTAATGGACATTCGACGTGCTCATCCCAAGACTCCATCCACACACGCAGTTCACGAGGAAACTGCACTCGCAGCCCGCACTCCTCTCCAGTTTTCGCTCATCCCGCGAGGTTCAGGAGCTGGATCAGTATCCGGACGTGGAGGTGGTGGCCAATCCGCCAGAATGGCGTTTCGTAGAGCGCCTCCTGCCGCCGGCAACAGTGCCGCAGCCTGAGATGAAGCAGGAATATCCCTCTGGCTGGCGGCCACAGAAGGAGGATGGCTCAAAAAGCGGTTATTATGTGGCCAGGACCAAGAATCACATGGTGCCGGTGTATTTGCACACACGGTTTCGTGGCCAGCGCCGGATAACGGTGGTGCGTCGCGTCCAGGGGGATATTTGGTCACTGGAAAAGGATCTGCGAGCAGTGGTGGAGCAGTCGCGGAACGGTAAGCTCTGCGCCACGCGAGTCAACGAGCTGAGCGGTCAGATTCACATCCATGGCGATCATGTGGACATACTGAGGGACTATCTCAAGGAGAAGGGCTTCTAGAGGGCCAGGCTGCCAATGTGTGTCGATGTCAATAATAATAAACTTTCAACTGTTGATTTTATTATTTTGTCGACTTTTTAACTAGTTTCTTTTAGTGAATTTAAAGCCAGTTCTGTTTAGAAGGATTCTGAACTCGATAAAAAGGCTATTTTCTCTCTAGTTTCATGAGGATTTCTATATATCCCCATATAGAAACGTATTTCTTAAAGATTTCCTCCATAAATAATCAAGAAAAAGCCTTGAAATTGACCGCACACTGGCCCCCCCAATGGGTTGCAGTTCGCTTTTATTTTGTTTTAGCACTTAACGTTTAGCATAAATTACATACATCGTCTTGGGCTTGCGAGAGTGTAGTGCAAGGGGATTCCATGGGCTTTACAACTAAAATCTAAGGGAGAATGATCTTGGGGTGAGGGGGATATAAACTTAGTCGAGAGGAGGGAGCTCCGCTATATCGCTATCGCTATTCTACTTATACTGCCGCTGGTGGCAGAGGTTCCTCTGCCGTCAGGTACGCAGGTGGGCGTAAGCAGCCATGCCCCACCGCTATCCGCTGGCCCCGGCCATTGCCGGCAGTCCGGACAGACTGACGCCACCCGGTGTGGGCGTTACCGTACCCGTACCCGCTGCCGACGACGACGAGGATCGTTTGAGAGCCTTCCGTATGACCGTCCAATCCTCCATAATGTCCTCCTCACGCAGCATATACACCACATACGGTCCGGTTACGGTTACGGCCTTCTTGCGTCCCGGTCCGCGCACCTTGCTCTGGCGCTTGTCGGTGCCCCAGTCGGCCCACGAAATGTCGACATTATGGCGGTCCTCCTCCAAGCGACGGATGCGATCAACCAGCTCGTCGCGCAGGTTGTCCACAGTCATATGCTTCTCACTCTGAAAAAATGGGGGATAAAGGTGAGAAGAAGTTGTGGGTTGCCTGTGCCCCCCTCCTTAGTTTTGGCGCCAAAAAACGCCACGGGACTTACCTCAAAGTGTTGGACGGCTGCCTGCTCCTCGGACAGGAACTTGTGCTCGATGTTCTGGAGGCGGTATCTGCGCAGCACATCGGCCACCTCGATACGGGTGCGAAACACCTTGTCCAGCTCCTTTTGTGGCTGAACAAACTCCTCGGAACGGCCAGAACGTACCTCCGCCAGCTGGCGTTCAATGAGATTGATGCGTTCCAAGTAGTATTGCTCCCGCAGCGTATTAAACTGTCGCTCCAAGCTCACTACAGAATAGAGAACACCACGGATGAGTTATGGGATGAATGGGGGCCCCTAAGCCCCCCTTAGGATTCCTTTAATGCTTACACAAATCTTCGATGTGCTCCGCCCGCCGTCGCTCAATTTCGCTGGCATCCAGCTCCGAGGAGTCATCCGAGTCGCATTCATTGGCCTCCTCCTCGTCGGAGGTATCGTGCGCCTGGCTGGAGTTTGAGTGCTCCGATTCGGCACCAGAAACGTCGCCCTCACCATCGGATTCGCCGTTCTTTACGGGCATTCTGTTTGGTTTCAATTTACCCGGTTTTCCTGCGTTCCGCGGACTGCAGGTGGGCGCGGGATGTAACGCTTATCGATTTAAATAGGCAAAGTTTCCAGAAAAATTGAAAAAAACACTTGAATTTCGTGGAAATTCTGCAATTTGGGAGCTGTAGCAAAAAAGTGTTGGTTAGCGTGGCATTGGCTGTTGTGTGTTGGTAAACGCGAAAGCCTTGGCCCAGCAACCAACATATCGATAGTAACAGCTGGTGAAAAAGAAATATCGCCTATCGTCTGGCTGATAGAAAAGATAACACGAAAACTGTGCCTGTAAATAAATTTAGGGAAAAAATCCTAATCCCCAGATTGACTCTTTACTAAATAAATCAAAATGCACAAGTTCAAAGAGTTAGGTTAGGTGAAATTTCCGCACATATAAAAATGTATTTGTTTTTTTTAATACAAAATATCGATACATTTGTATATATTTTACACATCCCTACCGGCAATTCTTGAGTTACAATTTGGACTAAAAATTAAATGCTGCGCTAGCGAAAGTCACCATTAAACTGGTCTGGGGATTCCCTGCCACACACGCCATGAACTTCCCGCTGGCCAATGCCAACAAGGACACGTTGCGGGCTGCCTGCAAGAAGTGCGGCTACGCCGGTCACCTGACCTACCAATGCCGCAATTTTCTCAAGGTAAGCGAGCGCCGGACATGCCGGAGTAAAGCCCGAAACACTCTCAACCCATCTTTCCATCCGTGCAGGTGGACCCCAATAAGGAGATCCTGCTGGATGTGGAGAGCACCAGCTCGGACTCGGAGCTTGACTACCTCACACCGCTGACGGAGCTGCGGGCCCAGGAGCTAAAAGGCGGTGCCGAATTGCCACCGCCCACGCTGCCGACCACAACAGTTAACAAGGATAAGGATAGGGCTAAAGTGAAGGAGCGCGACAGGAACAAGGAGCGAGAGCACGACAGGGAGAGGGTCCGAGATCGGGATCGTGATCGAGTTCGGGAGCGTGAACGCGACAAGGTGAGAGAGCGAGAGCGAGAGCGGGAACGCGAAAGGGAGCGGGACAGGGAGAGGGGGCACGACCGGAAGAGGAGCAGCTCCAAGCGGAGCCACAAGGTGGCCGAAAAGGATAAGGACAAGGACAAGAAGTCGGAGAGACACAAGAAGCGCAAGAAGAAGAGAAGTCACAAGCATAAAAAGGACACCTCCGATCTGGCCAAAACCAAGTCAAAGAAACACCCAGGCGGCACCAGCAAAAAGTCAAAGCGACGACGCTCCTCTCCCTCCACCAGCAGCAGCAGCACCAGCTCATCCGACTCCTCATCCTCTTCCTCCGATTCGGATTCAGATAACTCCAGTAGCAGCAGCGACGACGATGGCGATGATTCCGAATCCGAATCGGATTCCAGCGACAACGAGGAGTCCAGCACCAGCGAGTCCGATGAGTATGGCCGGAAAAAGAAACGTCAGGGCAAGTACAAGCGGAAGGCGGACACGGCCATGTTGCGACGCAAAAAGACCAAGGTGAAGCGAAAGCGGCATCGTGCCGGCAACTCTGGTGCCCCCACCGCCGGCAGCTACCTGAGCAGTCTCAGCGACAGCAGCACCTACTGATTAGGAACCCGCGACCAGGGTATATAGCTGCGTTCCAAAGCAACTCCGCTCTCTCCCTCACTCTCTCTCCGTTTAAGAGCGTGTTGTCCCCTCCTCCACTTCCATTCGAGACTGCCGGATTCGCCAGTAAAATAATAACTAATCCCTACCTTAAACCCTAGACTTGTCTCCTAGTTCTTAAGTTGAATGTATCATCTGCAAAATATACAAAACAAAAAATGGAAAAGTAATTTTTATATTTTTAAAATCATAAAAACTCGCATATATAGGGAGTTTCTAGATTTTATTTAGGCAGTTTCAACCGAATGAATACATTTTTGGATTACACATAACAAACTATATACATATATAAAAAACAATAATAATTTAAACAATAGTTCACTCCGATTCCCGCAGGGCCGTCTCCAGAGCGGTTATGTGACGCTTGAGAAAGCCTATCTCCTGGGCGGAGCGCTCACACTTCAAGCACTTGTCCTCGCAATTCGCCTTACCCAGGATGGTGTCCATGAGCCGGGAATTTCTCCTACTCAGTTCGTCTTTGGAGGCTATCAGCTTCTCCATCAATTCAATCGTTGAGCTTTGGAATTCCAACATATCCTTCTCGCGTCTTTTAAGGGCTTTCCTCAACTCCCTATTATGCTTTTTGGTATCCAACAGGATTTGCTCTAGCTCCAGCAACCTATCCTCTGCATCCTCAAGCTTCGTTGTGGCCCTGGGTTGGGGCTTTGGCTGATCTTCGTTGTCATGGATACTTTTAAGATGTCCCTCGGACACAATTTTCATGGCCTCCAAAATGCTTTCCATTTTCGAGTCGTCGATTTCTTCGGTGTCTATTAACTGGCGCAGGCGACTGGAGTAGGTATCAGCCTTTTGGCCATTCAATGTTACCACAGCGTTGGCGCTGTTGCAATGATTTTCGAGGGAGGAGTTGGTGCTGCCAATGGGTCGGGATATGGGTGTGACTATCACATCCTCCTCGGGAATATGCTCCTGCGAAGGTTGAGTGTGGTCGCAACTCAAATGCATGAAATGACGACGTATGCAGTCCAGGTTGCGCAAACGTGGCTTTGGCTGCGGCGGCGACTCCTGGTGTTCTTCATTATCTCTGGAATGTCTGTGAAGATTACAGGTATGGCTTCGGGCTGCCAGGTGTTCTGATGGGCTCTCCCTCTGGTGCTCCTTTCGCTGCTCTCTGTGCTGCTCCTTCCTCTGCCCTATGTGTTGCTCCTGCTGCTCCTCAGAATCTTCAACCTCCGATGCTGTGACAACGTGCTGCTCTAAAGGCCACTCATTGCTGGTCATCATCTTGATGAATTCCTTTTCATCCGCCTCGAACACAAATCGCATACTCCAGTACTTCCTGTCATCGTCATAGAACTGCAAATAGTTGTCCTGCAAGTGAATGGCATTGCCATTGGGCTTCAGTTTCGTGTGGCTCATTGTCAGGCTCTTTTGTTTGTACAGGATCAGAGTGGCTGCCTCATTGTCGCCCAATTTGGACAGGGCCAAGCCCATACGATCCACCGGCTCGTAGCCTTTATAAATATTAACAATCTTGGCAAAGACAATGGCCCAACGGCTGGATTCTGGGACCGTTGGGACGCTGCTGCTGATCGAGCAGAAGGAGGAGGAGGAGGAGGAGGACCCTTCATAGCTTGTCGTGGGCCTCTGGGATTTGTGGCCACCCGGCTGGTAGCGCAGGTTACGTGTTTCCCTTCGCATGGGCAGGATGTCATCCTCGAATATCTCGCTGAGAGTGCGAGGAGAGGACTCGTTGCTAAAAAGAAGAGTTTAGTTGGGCTACCACCACACACACATCGTCATCGTTGATGGCTCACCTGTGCAACTTGGTGAAAAATGACTCTATGGAGCCCGCGCCGTCGGAGTCAAAGTTCATGGCTCACAACTCGGACTCTTACAATGCTATAAATCCTGGATTAAGCCCAAATCAGTCTGAACAGAACGAACAAAATATATAAATAATGGAACTCAGACGGTGATTGATTGCAAACAACTTTTTTCGGTGTGGCCAGATGTGAAAATGAAAAAAATGACAGGGGTCACGTCGACTACTGGGTTCCCTACATTTGAACTTTCTAATATTACCATATATTTATTATATTTTATATTTATTATTTATTATATTGTATTACATTTATTTAATTTTGAATTTCTCTTATGAAATTGGTAAGCAAAAAATTAAAATTAAAAAAAAACATTATATTAATTATATATTATATTGTATATTATATCTAATAAATAAAATAAATAATAAATATATATTTTTTTATTTAAATAATGAAGTTGCTTAATAGTATATCTAATATTTAATTAATAAAATAAGTAAAACAAAAATATGTTCAAATAATACAAATAATGAATAAATTAAGTGGTAAAAATTAATTTTTTTTTAAATTGAATCATGAAGTAAGTTGCTTAATATTATACCTCATATATAAAAAAATAAATAAAAATAAATATAAAATTCCTGCAACTACCTTTATACCATATTTATTTAATTGTGAATTTTTTTTTGTGAAATTAGTTACTTATTATATATAAAATCGAATGAATTTATATTCATACTAGAGGACCCGGCGAACTTTATCTCGCCCCAACTGCGACTGATTAAAACAAATTAAATTGAGACGTTCCGTACATATCCACACAGTACTGTTGAAACAAACGGCGGTATCTTAACAGATGATTGTCAACATCTAGTCGAATCATCAATCGATAGGCATAAAAATTCATTCTCATTCGTTTCTTCTCCTAGAATTTGAATTCAAACTTAGTTGTAGAATTAAAAAGAAGTGATGACTTGTAAACAAACCTGAAGTTGGGTTGACCATCTTTATGTTGAAGTGATACCCATCTTCTCCACGACAGAACATCAACGGGTATTGAAGAGCATCATAAGACCGATGAGTCTCATAAACTCGCTGCAATTGGCCATTATACCGACGCTTAAAAACAATATCGCGTGATTCCACATTCTCGCCAACAATCACCACTGCGACTTCATTGATAGTGGAAGCATTAAATTGTCTTGCATGGCTACCAATGGGTTTTTTGTCAGCGCTGATAATGATTTTGTGTTCGTCATAATGCATTATATCCAATGCGGTTTTAAACAATCTGACCAATTCATTATGCTCATGGAGAAGGTTTTGCAATTGTTGAATAATTTCACGTTTAGTTGCAGTAAAAATTGCACAGCGGTGATTTAGTTCAACTTCCGAATCACCAATGAAATAGATCTGAAGGAATTTATGATCTTTGTTTTGTGGTGGTAACATAGCGCCCGCTCGGTGGGGAATTTGCCCTTGAATCTGAATGTTGGGATGCAATTTTGAAAAAATGTGATAATAAAGAGACGCCATTACCTTATAACTTGGATTGTAGCCTGATTGTTGAACAACCTCGGCTCCAAAAGACGTCATTTGAAAGCATCCTTTATATTTTTGTGCAAGCTTCAGGAAACTGTTTGATTGGGCTGAGTTTCCATATAGTAGCGAGTACAAAGGCTCTGGTGGATGAGCCAAAACGGGCAATTTAATTTTGCCACCTGCACAGCATAAGCCGGGGGTTTCCAACCGAAACTTCAATGCATTACAATGCTGACATACAACAGGTAATGAACCAATAACAACGCACGTAAGATCCTTGTAGGATGTTTCAGGATTGTATGCGAATGAAGCGCGATTCAAGTTTTCATTTGCGGCTCGTCATCCTCTATTATTTTGTCGGGCTTGAGGTGGTCTTTGTGCAGCGCGAAGCTGTGCCATTTGGGCACGTATCGATGCATTTATTTCTGTACGTTCCTCTTGCGTCCGACTATTAAGGAAATTCTGATTATTTATTGCATTGCGAGAACGCCGCCCAAGATTTGATCGTCTAACAGCAGGCATTACTTCCAATTGTTTAAGCTCACTTTGGTAATGCTTCGTTAGCTCGATTTTTTTGTTTAAATATTTTTTTACCGAGTTCTTTGATACACAATTTCAACGCAGCTATGATCTTTGTAGTAGAGCTGGGAAAAAATCGATGTTAACATCGATTAAATCGATTCTTTCTTTTTGGTCGATGCATCGATTCGGTTTAGAAAGAATCGATTAATCGACAAGGTCCATGCTTTGCGCTATCTGTGCGTTTCAGCTAGCTCAACAGAAGCAGAGCGAGTATTTAGTAAGGCTGGATGTAACATAACCGATAGCTCGTTTTTGCCAACAAAAACCAGTGGCTAATCTAGAATTTTGATATTTATTTTCATTTTTATAATTTGAAAATATTTTCTTTTTTTTTTTGTGATCTCATTGAATTGATCCCATTTAATTTAATTTAATTTAACTGGAAATAACCAGTAAATAATTTACTTTGATTTTTTGTTTTTATAATATGAAAATATTTTGTTTCTTATTTTATGAACCTTTATTTTAAATATTTTTATTTAAAATAAGTTACTTTATTTAAAATAAAGGCTTTGAATAATTTTATTTAAAATAAAGATTCATAAAATAAGAAACAAAATATATTCTTTAAAAAAAAATCAAAATCAATTAATCACTGGTTATGGCCAGCAAAATTTATTTGATTTATTAAGAATACATTTTTGGTTTATTGTTTTAGAATGATTATGTAAATAAATTTAAGTTTGGTTTTTTTTCTAAATTTATTTGAAGTAAAAAATAAAAAAGTTTTGTTTTCGATTTAATCGATTTAATCGATTTTATTTTCACAAAAATCGAAAAAATCGATTCGCTGAGAATCGATTTTTTCCCAGCTCTACTTTGTAGGGTGTTTCAGAATTTTACATACAACAGTGTGTCCATCTGTTGAGCCGCTAGCGACCTTTCCGGAAGGACTTTTCAAAATTTTCTTATGCTATAACCTTCTTCTGGCAATTACAAAAAACTGAAAAAAAAAATTGAGCCAAATCGGCCCAGCCGTTCTCTTGTGATTTGATCCCTAACATTTTTTGTCTCCATTTTTATATATATAGATATATAAAAAAAAAATAATAATAAATAACTATAAATAAAATTTAATGAAATTTGTTATTCTGCCAAACAAGCCTAAGAAAAGTCGCCTATTAATGCTGACCAAGAATATATAGGGTTTATAGGGTCGGAAGTGACTCCTTCACTGCATAGCAAACTGTTTATGGCTTTCTAATTAATTAAACAAGTTAACACCTATTATTTTTTAAAGCTCTTGTTGTTGTAAGTCTTATTTTTAAATTATTAATTTCACCACAAATGAAATAGTAAGTAATATTTATATTTCTAATTATTAAAGTCTGACCCTTTGGGGTCCTTTCACAGTCTTCAGAGAACCAAAGCCCAACTCGTTGTTGTGACCGCTCTTTATCAGTATTTTGAGATTTGGTGAGTTCTTAAGATTTGGTGCTCTCTGCTCTCTGCAGATTCTTCCAGCAGCCAACAAAAAAAACGAATCTCCACACTCCCCCAAGGTTCCGTGAATTTCACAATGAACCAACCTTGCGAAGGCCATTGAAAGAGTAGCCACCAATACACCAAGCGAAAAAAAGGGTGTTCTTACAAAAATATATATGTACATAAATAATAATTTCTTTTAAAAAATATATAGCAAATTATATTTAAGCTATTCTTGAGCTATTTCAAGGTATTAAATATTTATACATTTTATAATTATATATTTTTTCCAGTGCCACCAACGACGCAGTTGCTCCCGATCCGACCAAGTGATAAGCCAGGGGGAGAGCGCATCATTTAGCGATTGTTCAAGTGCGTTCATCGGCTATATTCCGGCGATAAGAACAGATCCCGGACGGAGAGCTATAAAGCAGGCCAGCAGCCCGGCCAGCGCTTCAGTTGAATCTCGGCCAGTCCAGTGAGAGCTTGCCATAGTGTCAGGTAGATTAGAACACCTCCGTTTGTCCCTCCACCCCACCTGTATCAGCGGATTAAGCGATAAGCCAGCAGCTCTGCTCTGCTCTGTTTGTGTGTTTCTGTCTCTGAGATCTGGTTACGTAAACAGGAAAACAAGAAAGGGGAAACCATGGAAGTACCGCCGCCATTGGTCCTCAAGCGACACATGTATGTGCCCAGCAAGACACTGATGGGTCCCGGACCCTCCAACTGCTCCCATCGCGTGCTCGAGGCCATGAGTAATCCGGTGCTGGGGCACATGCATCCCGAGTGCCTGCAGGTGGGTTGAGTTAAAAAAAAAATCTTTACAAATTTAATATATATAAAAACTTAATATCTAAAAATAAATGAATGCATAAAAGAAAATAAATAAATAAACAAAATATAAAATAATATAATAATAATAATAAATTAATAATATAAAAAATTAATAATTATAAAAGATTAATAATTATACAAAATTAAAAATATAAAAAATTGAAATATAAAAAATGTAATCAAATAAAATTTAATATATAAAAAATGTAATATATGTATAACAAATTAAATATGAGAACAAATTTATAAAAATATAAAAATTTTACATAAAACAAAAAAAAAAAAATATAATATAAAAAAAATTTAATATATAAAGAAAATTTAACAAATAAGAAATATTTAATATATTAAAAAATTTCAGATATAAAAAAAAAATAATATAAAAAAATTAATACATACAAAAATGTTATTTAAAAAAATATTAAATTTATAAAAACAAAAATTAATATATAAAAAATATAAATATATAAAAAATGTATTAAATAACAAAAAAAATTCAATTTTAAAATTCAATACATCAAAAGTTTACAATATTGTGTACCTTCCATCCACAGATCATGGACGAGGTTAAGGAGGGCATCAAGTACATCTTCCAAACCCTAAACGATGCCACCATGTGCATCAGTGGAGCGGGTCACAGCGGCATGGAGGCAGCACTCTGCAATCTAATCCAGGATGGCGACGCCGTCCTGATGGGCATCACCGGTGTCTGGGGCCATCGGGCTGGGGATATGGCGCGTCGCTATGGCGCCGAAGTACACTATGTGGAGGCAAGCTTCGGACGCGCCCTGAGCTGGGAGGAGATCACATTCGCCTTCGAGGCCCATCGGCCGCGTGTGTTCTTCATTGCCCAGGGTGACTCCTCCACGGGGATCATTCAGCAGAATATCCGTGAAATCGGTGAACTGTGCCGGAAGTACGATTGCTTCCTGGTGGTGGATACAGTGGCCTCGCTGGGAGGCACTGAGTTCCTCATGGACGAGTGGAAGGTGGATGTGGCCTATACGGGTTCACAGAAGGCCCTTGGCGGTCCGGCTGGCCTCACACCGATTTCGTTTAGCAAGCGAGCTCTTACCCACATCCGGAAGCGAAAGACCAAGCCGAAGGTCTACTACTTTGATATCCTTCTGATTGGTCAATACTGGGGCTGCTATGGCACGCCCAGGATCTATCATCACACCATATCCTCCACCCTGCTGTACGGACTGCGCGAGGCCCTGGCCCATTTCTGTGCTTTGGGCCTGAAGGCCGTCGTCCGGCGGCATCAGGAGTGCTCCAAGCGGCTGCAGTTGGGCATCGAGGAGCTGGGCCTGGAGATGTTCGTGCAACGGGAGGAGGAGCGTTTGCCCACGGTGAACACGATCAAAGTGCCGTTCGGTGTGGACTGGAAGAAGGTGGCCGAGTATGCCATGCGCAAGTGAGTAGTTTCTGGAGGAGGGGATCTCGTAGAGCATCACTAAATCTATTTTCTCTATTAGGTACAGCGTGGAGATCAGCGGCGGCCTGGGGCCCACAGTGGAGCATGTCTTCCGCATTGGTCTGATGGGCGAGAATGCCACCGTGGAGCGCGTTGATATGGTCCTCAGCATCCTCAACGAGGCCATCCAAAGCATCAAGCTCAAGGCGGTCAAGACAGAGCGTTCCAAAATATAAAAATTACATTGTTTCCTTCTTTTTTAATGGTTTTTTAAATAATAAATATAAATAATAAAAATGTTATAATGATTCCACATTCTCGCCAACAATCACCACTGCGACTTCATTGATAGTGGAAGCATTAAATTGTCTTGCATGGCTACCAATGGGTTTTTTGTCAGCGCTGATAATGATTTTGTGTTCGTCATAATGCATTATATCCAATGCGGTTTTAAACAATCTGACCAATTCATTATGCTCATGGAGAAGGTTTTGCAATTGTTGAATAATTTCACGTTTAGTTGCAGTAAAAATTGCACAGCGGTGATTTAGTTCAACTTCCGAATCACCAATGAAATAGATCTGAAGGAATTTATGATCTTTGTTTTGTGGTGGTAACATAGCGCCCGCTCGGTGGGGAATTTGCCCTTGAATCTGAATGTTGGGATGCAATTTTGAAAAAATGTGATAATAAAGAGACGCCATTACCTTATAACTTGGATTGTAGCCTGATTGTTGAACAACCTCGGCTCCAAAAGACGTCATTTGAAAGCATCCTTTATATTTTTGTGCAAGCTTCAGGAAACTGTTTGATTGGGCTGAGTTTCCATATAGTAGCGAGTACAAAGGCTCTGGTGGATGAGCCAAAACGGGCAATTTAATTTTGCCACCTGCACAGCATAAGCCGGGGGTTTCCAACCGAAACTTCAATGCATTACAATGCTGACATACAACAGGTAATGAACCAATAACAACGCACGTAAGATCCTTGTAGGATGTTTCAGGATTGTATGCGAATGAAGCGCGATTCAAGTTTTCATTTGCGGCTCGTCATCCTCTATTATTTTGTCGGGCTTGAGGTGGTCTTTGTGCAGCGCGAAGCTGTGCCATTTGGGCACGTATCGATGCATTTATTTCTGTACGTTCCTCTTGCGTCCGACTATTAAGGAAATTCTGATTATTTATTGCATTGCGAGAACGCCGCCCAAGATTTGATCGTCTAACAGCAGGCATTACTTCCAATTGTTTAAGCTCACTTTGGTAATGCTTCGTTAGCTCGATTTTTTTGTTTAAATATTTTTTTACCGAGTTCTTTGATACACAATTTCAACGCAGCTATGATCTTTGTAGTAGAGCTGGGAAAAAATCGATGTTAACATCGATTAAATCGATTCTTTCTTTTTGGTCGATGCATCGATTCGGTTTAGAAAGAATCGATTAATCGACAAGGTCCATGCTTTGCGCTATCTGTGCGTTTCAGCTAGCTCAACAGAAGCAGAGCGAGTATTTAGTAAGGCTGGATGTAACATAACCGATAGCTCGTTTTTGCCAACAAAAACCAGTGGCTAATCTAGAATTTTGATATTTATTTTCATTTTTATAATTTGAAAATATTTTCTTTTGTTTTTTGTGATCTCATTGAATTGATCCCATTTAATTTAATTTAATTTAACTGGAAATAACCAGTAAATAATTTACTTTGATTTTTTGTTTTTATAATATGAAAATATTTTGTTTCTTATTTTATGAACCTTTATTTTAAATATTTTTATTTAAAATAAGTTACTTTATTTAAAATAAAGGCTTTGAATAATTTTATTTAAAATAAAGATTCATAAAATAAGAAACAAAATATATTCTTTAAAAAAAAATCAAAATCAATTAATCACTGGTTATGGCCAGCAAAATTTATTTGATTTATTAAGAATACATTTTTGGTTTATTGTTTTAGAATGATTATGTAAATAAATTTAAGTTTGGTTTTTTTTCTAAATTTATTTGAAGTAAAAAATAAAAAAGTTTTGTTTTCGATTTAATCGATTTAATCGATTTTATTTTCACAAAAATCGAAAAAAATCGATTCGCTGAGAATCGATTTTTTCCCAGCTCTACTTTGTAGGGTGTTTCAGAATTTTACATACAACAGTGTGTCCATCTGTTGAGCCGCTAGCGACCTTTCCGGAAGGACTTTTCAAAATTTTCTTATGCTATAACCTTCTTCTGGCAATTACAAAAAACTGAAAAAAAAAATTGAGCCAAATCGGCCCAGCCGTTCTCTTGTGATTTGATCCCTAACATTTTTTGTCTCCATTTTTATATATATAGATATATAAAAAAAAAAAAAATAATAAATAACTATAAATAAAATTTAATGAAATTTGTTATTCTGCCAAACAAGCCTAAGAAAAGTCGCCTATTAATGCTGACCAAGAATATATAGGGTTTATAGGGTCGGAAGTGACTCCTTCACTGCATAGCAAACTGTTTATGGCTTTCTAATTAATTAAACAAGTTAACACCTATTATTTTTTAAAGCTCTTGTTGTTGTAAGTCTTATTTTTAAATTATTAATTTCACCACAAATGAAATAGTAAGTAATATTTATATTTCTAATTATTAAAGTCTGACCCTTTGGGGTCCTTTCACAGTCTTCAGAGAACCAAAGCCCAACTCGTTGTTGTGACCGCTCTTTATCAGTATTTTGAGATTTGGTGAGTTCTTAAGATTTGGTGCTCTCTGCTCTCTGCAGATTCTTCCAGCAGCCAACAAAAAAAACGAATCTCCACACTCCCCCAAGGTTCCGTGAATTTCACAATGAACCAACCTTGCGAAGGCCATTGAAAGAGTAGCCACCAATACACCAAGCGAAAAAAAGGGTGTTCTTACAAAAATATATATGTACATAAATAATAATTTCTTTTAAAAAATATATAGCAAATTATATTTAAGCTATTCTTGAGCTATTTCAAGGTATTAAATATTTATACATTTTATAATTATATATTTTTTCCAGTGCCACCAACGACGCAGTTGCTCCCGATCCGACCAAGTGATAAGCCAGGGGGAGAGCGCATCATTTAGCGATTGTTCAAGTGCGTTCATCGGCTATATTCCGGCGATAAGAACAGATCCCGGACGGAGAGCTATAAAGCAGGCCAGCAGCCCGGCCAGCGCTTCAGTTGAATCTCGGCCAGTCCAGTGAGAGCTTGCCATAGTGTCAGGTAGATTAGAACACCTCCGTTTGTCCCTCCACCCCACCTGTATCAGCGGATTAAGCGATAAGCCAGCAGCTCTGCTCTGCTCTGTTTGTGTGTTTCTGTCTCTGAGATCTGGTTACGTAAACAGGAAAACAAGAAAGGGGAAACCATGGAAGTACCGCCGCCATTGGTCCTCAAGCGACACATGTATGTGCCCAGCAAGACACTGATGGGTCCCGGACCCTCCAACTGCTCCCATCGCGTGCTCGAGGCCATGAGTAATCCGGTGCTGGGGCACATGCATCCCGAGTGCCTGCAGGTGGGTTGAGTTAAAAAAAAAATCTTTACAAATTTAATATATATAAAAACTTAATATCTAAAAATAAATGAATGCATAAAAGAAAATAAATAAATAAACAAAATATAAAATAATATAATAATAATAATAAATTAATAATATAAAAAATTAATAATTATAAAAGATTAATAATTATACAAAATTAAAAATATAAAAAATTGAAATATAAAAAATGTAATCAAATAAAATTTAATATATAAAAAATGTAATATATGTATAACAAATTAAATATGAGAACAAATTTATAAAAATATAAAAATTTTACATAAAACAAAAAAAAAAAAAAATATAATATAAAAAAAATTTAATATATAAAGAAAATTTAACAAATAAGAAATATTTAATATATTAAAAAATTTCAGATATAAAAAAAAAATAATATAAAAAAATTAATACATACAAAAATGTTATTTAAAAAAATATTAAATTTATAAAAACAAAAATTAATATATAAAAAATATAAATATATAAAAAATGTATTAAATAACAAAAAAATTCAATTTTAAAATTCAATACATCAAAAGTTTACAATATTGTGTACCTTCCATCCACAGATCATGGACGAGGTTAAGGAGGGCATCAAGTACATCTTCCAAACCCTAAACGATGCCACCATGTGCATCAGTGGAGCGGGTCACAGCGGCATGGAGGCAGCACTCTGCAATCTAATCCAGGATGGCGACGCCGTCCTGATGGGCATCACCGGTGTCTGGGGCCATCGGGCTGGGGATATGGCGCGTCGCTATGGCGCCGAAGTACACTATGTGGAGGCAAGCTTCGGACGCGCCCTGAGCTGGGAGGAGATCACATTCGCCTTCGAGGCCCATCGGCCGCGTGTGTTCTTCATTGCCCAGGGTGACTCCTCCACGGGGATCATTCAGCAGAATATCCGTGAAATCGGTGAACTGTGCCGGAAGTACGATTGCTTCCTGGTGGTGGATACAGTGGCCTCGCTGGGAGGCACTGAGTTCCTCATGGACGAGTGGAAGGTGGATGTGGCCTATACGGGTTCACAGAAGGCCCTTGGCGGTCCGGCTGGCCTCACACCGATTTCGTTTAGCAAGCGAGCTCTTACCCACATCCGGAAGCGAAAGACCAAGCCGAAGGTCTACTACTTTGATATCCTTCTGATTGGTCAATACTGGGGCTGCTATGGCACGCCCAGGATCTATCATCACACCATATCCTCCACCCTGCTGTACGGACTGCGCGAGGCCCTGGCCCATTTCTGTGCTTTGGGCCTGAAGGCCGTCGTCCGGCGGCATCAGGAGTGCTCCAAGCGGCTGCAGTTGGGCATCGAGGAGCTGGGCCTGGAGATGTTCGTGCAACGGGAGGAGGAGCGTTTGCCCACGGTGAACACGATCAAAGTGCCGTTCGGTGTGGACTGGAAGAAGGTGGCCGAGTATGCCATGCGCAAGTGAGTAGTTTCTGGAGGAGGGGATCTCGTAGAGCATCACTAAATCTATTTTCTCTATTAGGTACAGCGTGGAGATCAGCGGCGGCCTGGGGCCCACAGTGGAGCATGTCTTCCGCATTGGTCTGATGGGCGAGAATGCCACCGTGGAGCGCGTTGATATGGTCCTCAGCATCCTCAACGAGGCCATCCAAAGCATCAAGCTCAAGGCGGTCAAGACAGAGCGTTCCAAAATATAAAAATTACATTGTTTCCTTCTTTTTTAATGGTTTTTTAAATAATAAATATAAATAATAAAAATGTTATACAAATTTTTGAAAGGGGAATAACCGGTAGTACACAAGGCAGTGTTGCCAGACTAGAGAGAAAGGCGTTGAGCAAAAAAAAATAAAAATCACAATTAATCATTAAAGCCTAGTACTTAGAGCTGGGAAACTATCGATGGTACTATCGAGGTATCGACTTTTTCCTTTTTTTGAGCCACCATCGATAGTTTTTTATCACTATCGATAGTACGGGACTATTTTTATATCTCTGCTTTGTTGCTGAAATTTAGTAAGAAAAATGCAAACAAATATATATATATATGTATATATATATTTTTTTTTTTTATAATAAAAATGTATTCTAAATTAACTTAAATTGGAGTTGGTGGTGAAAAATATTAACTGAATCTCAAAAGAAAGGGTGCGTCTACGCCACGTCTTCAGAGTCTAAGCGTATGTTTAGCAATGGTAATACAATTTTATTTGTGCAAAGTTGCTTGGATAGAATATTTATGTTAATTACTTAGTCAAAACATATTGAATAGTATTATAATTCTATTTGAAATTGCTATAACTTTAATTTGCAAAAAGAATCGTAAAAAAACGATACTATCGATAGTATCGAATTTTCGTTTTCAAAACATCGAAAATATCGAATGGTGTCACTATCGATAGTTTCCCAGCTCTACTAGTACTCTGACGAGAAAAACCCGCTGTCTAAATTAGACAGCGGAATCGCTGTTTATTTCGCTACCGAGCTAGTGTGCCCAAAAAAATTAAGGAAATTCCATGAAAATGTACTTTTTATGGCGTTTAAGGATTTTCCTTGGTCACACTGGACAGCTGTTTGTAAACAAATATTAAAAATATTAATAAATATGGCATTAAAATGTCCTTTGTGGGTTAAATTCCATATTATGGGCTTCCCCCTTGACAGCCCCTATCAATTCCACCTTTTTCCTTCAACTTTCCCTCCATTAGGGGTGTCTAAATAAATCAAATGAATTATTTAGACAGCGCGATATCAGCTGTTTACTATCTTGATCTGGCAACGCCATTCAATTTTCGCAGGCTTCATTTTCGTCGTCAGAGTACCGAAAAAAACGAGGTGTCTAAAAGTTCTTCTTCTTCTTTTTTCGACACCGTTTTTTTTATATGGAGTTTGGCCGCTGTCTAAATTTATACAGCGGTTTTTTCTCGTCAGAGTACTAGGCTTAAGCTTGAGCAAAAAAAATAAAACTCAAAACTAATGATTATTCGTGATTTTTATTTTTTACGCTTAAAAATAATTATTAGTCTTGATTTAAAAAATTAAAAATTGATAAGTAATCATTAATTTTTAAAATATTACTTATAATGATTACGGTCCCTGATTTAAATTGCTATTCTTTCGGAGAAGAATAAATAATTATTCAAACCAGTAACCGCCAGTATTCTTAGGTCATATTTTAGTATTATATTATGTCTCGGTTTACATATCAGTATTTTTATATCGATATTAAAAAAACTGGTCAAATAAACGTTTGTATTTTTTTTTCATGCAGCCGAATTTTTACATTTTAGTATTTTTATGTCGAAAAAAACAACTGGTCGGTCACACTTTTGGGCGTCAAACTGTTTTCGGCCGCCATTTCGATTTAAATTTACCTGCGGCGTCACTTAATTTTGACGAAATAATAAACACATTCCCCGCCCAGCGCGTTCAACTTCGAGTTCTCGTGAAACTCCAGTCGGCTATTGGCCAGCAGTCATGCTCTTTAAATAGAACGCCAACGTATTCCTGGCCGCAAATATCAAACAACAAACATCCCGACATCCGAATTAAAACAAATCCAATATGGAGACCCAGAACAACTTTGCATCGTTCAAGGCGGAGATCCTGGAGATGACAGCCCAGAATGTGGACATGCTCCACGCCATGTGGCTGCGCATCTTCGACACCAAGACCTGCGGCAAGTTCCTCCACAGGCTGAAGGACCATGCGCAGACCTTCTACACGGATCTCCTGAACGAGTCATGCGAGAAGCAGCAGACGATCCTTGACGAGATCGCTGCCCTGCAGGCCGAGGCCAGGGACCTCACGCGACTGCTTCACGAGTCGGTGGACATCGGCGAGCGCCCAGATGACGTTCCACTGGTCATCTGGCAGCTAAAGCTGTACAAGGGCATCGAGCACCTGCGCGAGGAGCTGGCCAGGCGCCAGGCTGAGATCTGCGAACTCCTGCTCCAGCAGGAACAGCTATGCGAGGAACTGGGCGAACTGCCGTTGCCACTGCTGGCCGATCCTTTGCCTCAGCCGGAGGAGATGGATGCGTTCCGAGATCATCTCGAGCAGCTGCGGGCCCACCGAGTGCTGCGCCTGAAGGAGATGGACCAGCTGCGCCAGAGCATCAAGCACAACATGAAGCTGCTGGAGTGCCTGCCGCAGACGGACCAGGAGGAACGCCTGCTCAACCAGGTGGATCACTGCCTCACGCCCGAGACCTTTGAGCGCCTGCGGAAGATGCAGAAGGAGCTCGCCGACCAGATGCAGGAGATGCGAGAGCGCATCGACGACATGCGCGAAAAGATTCGCGTTCTGTGGGAGCGTCTGCAGGAGACGGACGACTACGCCATGCGAAGGGTGCGCAACGCCACCGAGTACACACAGTACACGTACGACGTTCTCCGGGAGGAGCTGCAGCGCTGCCAGGCCCTCCGGAAGCAGAACCTTGAGAGCTTCATTGAACAGCTTCGCGTGGAGATCCAAGAGTGGTGGGATCGCACCCTGAAGAGCCCCCAGGAGCGCAAGCGTTTCACCAGCCACCTAAACGGTTTTGAGAGGGAAGATGTCTTGGAGCTATACGAGATGGAGTTGGACGGCCTCAAGACCTTCTACAGCAGCAACAAGAAGATTTTCGAGCTCTACGCCACCCGGACAGAGCTGTGGTCCCGCATGGAGGCCCTGGAGGCCAAGGTCAATGATCCCAAACGCTTCAATAATCGCGGTGGCCAGCTGCTCAAGGAGGAGAAGGAACGCAAGGCCAACTCGGTCAAGCTGCCCAAGATCGAGGAGCAAATCACGGAGCTGGTGAACGCCTTTGTGGGCCAGGCGAACACGGCCTTCCTGGTGTTCGGAAAGGACATCCTCAAGAGCATGGCCCTGGACTGGGAGCAGTTTCGACAGGCCAAGCAGCAGCCCGCCGCCGCTCGCAAGAACCAAGAGCTCTCCGGAGCGGTCAGCAAGAAGATGCCACCGCCACATCTCACGCCGAAGGGTAAAGCTGGCAAATACCAATCCACGTCGTCGCTGAAGAAGAGTCCATCGAAGGTCGACTCGAGCATGGCTGTCAAGTCCACGGGCAATCTGAAAAAGAGGCGACATTCCAATCTGGGCAATGCCAGCTCACCGACGGCCACTGCCGCCAAGCGGAATCTAATATCTTCGCTGGACTGCAATAATTCAGCCACCGTCCTGGCGGAGAACTCCCAACGGAAGCCGATCAATCCGCCGAAAAAGGTTTTAGTGCTGGAACACTCGCTGCGTCGGGGGAAGCGAACCAACAGGCTCTCCGCCGTGAACCCCAGTCGGAGTCGTGCCATACCGGATATCCTGGTGGAGCCGCCCTCCAGCGAAGACTGTGGCAGTCTCTAGAGGTCTCCAAATCAAATTCTAATCGAGTCAGCTACTGATCTGTGTTTATTTCTACCTGAACTCTACCTGTATTGTATAAGTATTGATTGTATTGTAATTGTGAAGCCCTGAAACGTCCTGATTTAGATGGTTAGTTTCAGACAGTTGATATCTTCCAAATGTGAAATTGTCGAGCGGTTTTATTAATAATTTTATATGATTTATAGAGAGATATTTTTTAATAAATGAGTAATTTTAGGTAGTTGACACAAGTTTTTCCTTTGTTTTTTAACCAAACCAAGCAATTAAGGGCAATCAGAAAATGTTTCAGCCAGGAAAATAGCTTCCCAAGAAACCCAAACAAGGCTAAATCCTTTGGAAATCTGGCTGAAATCCTCTTCGGTTAAGGAGTTCACTCCACATCCACATCAGAGGGCGGAAGTTCGGCCGGAGCAGCACAACTTCTGGTGGCCAGTTCCCTTTCTCTGGGGGAAAACACGTGTCATATATAGGATATATAACTTAGATTTATTCAACGTCGAACCGAAGGCACACTCTCACACACACGTAGAAAAAAAAAAAAAACAAAGTTGTACACTTAAATGTTTATTTGTTGTTTTCAAATTCAATGAACGACAAGCGCTCAAATCATTTCCATCCAATGTGTACTTAAAGTCTCTCCATCTTCCTCAAGCCTCCGGCTGGGCTTAACCCTGCTTCTGGGCCAGCTCGCGGGCCTTGGCGCGCTCCAGCTTGGCGATGCGGGCCAGACTCTTGGAGCCAAGGATACCACCGCCCCAGTGGCGACGGATCTCCTCGTGACGCTCATTGAAGTTGGTCTTGACGGCCTCCAGAACCTTGCCAAAGTTGGCCTTGTCGTTGTTATCAACGGTGGTCAGGGCCAGGGTGGTGCAGGTCTTGCGGCGGACCAGGCGACCCAGACGAGCCTTGCCCTTAACAATGCAGTAGGGCACGCCCATTTTGCGGCAAAGGGCGGGCAGGAAGAGAACCAGCTGGAAAATACAGAAAGAAAAAGGGAAAAGCATTAGTGTTGAGGTATTTGGTAAGCACGTGTTGTGGCTCGAAAGTGTTCCCCAATTCCCTGAATTTAAAGCTAGGCACTTTCTCTAAGCTTTGCTTGGTGAGAAATCTTTGGTATTTAGAGCTCCCAGAGCAAGTACCTAGCTTTTGGGAAATAATTCAAATCAGCTGTCAATTCGCCACATGGGCAGCCTCCTCGCAGAGCGGGATATGCCTTTCGGTTGAAGAAATTCAAAGTTTTACATCATTACAAGAGCACGGGGAGCAACTGGAGCGGTAGCAACTCCAAATTGGATTTATGGTATTACAACTCACCTCAAGGGGATCGACATCGTGGGCGATGACAACCAGCTGGGCTTTCTTCTGCTCAATGAGCTTCGTCACGGTATTGGTGCCGGCCGACACATAGCTGGGCTTCTTCTTGGGCTCAACATCCTTGCCCTTGGCCTTGGCCTCGGCCACCTTCTTCAGGCGCTGCTTCTTGGCCAGCGGCGATTCCGGGCGGTATTTCTCCAGCAGCTTGAACAGCTTGACGGCGGTGGTCTTGTCCAGAGTCTGGCTGAACTGATGGATTGGTGGTGGCACCTTCAGACGCTTCTGGAGCACGGCCTTCTGGCGCTGGACACGGATGTATTTGGGCCAGCGAACGAAGCGGGACAGATCACGCTTGGGCTGAACATTCTGGCCTGCAGGAAGGTAGAAGGGAAATATATAACTTGGCTACTTGGCTCAATCTCACTCTCTCTTACCGATGCCAAAGTTCTTGGGACGCTTCTCGAAGAGCTGGTTGACAACCTTCTTGACCACTGGCTTCTTCACCGCCAGAGGAGCGGGGGCCACCTTCTTGGTCACTGGCTTCTTCTTTGGCCTGGGCTGCAATGAACACAAACACCATTAGTTTCATTCTCACTGACTGTGCGCACAACAACAAAAACAACACCAAACAAAACACAAAAACACTCGCGTTTGAACGGTTTTCGGTTGAAAAATGTTTAGTCCATTGATTCGGTAACGGTATTTACCTTCTTAACAACCATTGTCACGCAGTTTTATCAAAAGATGCTACCGAAAAAAGCAGATTCGTGCGGGTCGCGAGAAAGACCAGCTTTTGCGTCTGCCTGTCAAAAAGGTAAAGGAATGGTGGCAGCGGCGGAAGTGGCCTCTATGGCAGCGCCGCTCAGGGTTGCTCTGGGGCGCAGTGTTGCATGTGGCGCTGCCAACTATCGAATGGGGCAAGGTAGCCAAAACGAGTTGGTATTAAATAATAGCTAGAATATAGCTAGATAAAAATTATATTGGAATTTCAATTAATATAATAATTTACAAGTACATTATTAAAGCCTTTATAATTTTAAGTTTTATTTGAAAGGAAAGGATTTTTTAATGTCAAAAATACAAAATATAATAACTATATATACGTTACTTGTTAAACCCCAGTTGGATACATTTTCTTTTTTTCAGAGAACTGATTTAAAATAAAATACAGAAATAATCAAATAAGTAGAGATAACAAGAAAAAATGTATATATGTACCTAAATAAAAATGATCGAAACTTTTCTGTACATGAATTTATGTATTATTAATGCCTTTTGTAATTTTAATTTTTAACTGAAAATAATAATTTTCATTAGTGCCTTTATAATATTAACTTTTTCAAATTATTTAATTTTCAGTTAATAACGCTTTTATTTTTTAATATCGATAGTATCGTATTTTCCTCATTGCAAAATGGCATATTTTCCGGTCACACTGATTTTTGCTGCCCACCTGTTTACGGTTCAGCGTAAGTGTGACCAGCTGCTTTGGAGGGAGAAATCTGGCTGGCCAGTCGCAGTTTAGAAAAACGCCATTGGGCAAACAAAAAAATAAAGGTTTCTCCTGCGCCTGCGCTTAGTGCTAAATAAACCGATTTGTGCCTGTAAAACGCGAGTGCTAAGTTAAACCTGACTTAAACGGAGCGTTTAGTGCGTAGTGGATTAACGGTCGCGAAAAATGTTCGGCGGGGGAAAACGCAGCTAGGCGAAATGCACTTGCCACCGCAGGCAGCACCAGCAGCAGGCCACCATTTTTAATTTCTTTGTTTATTTTGTGCCCATCTTCGCGGAGAGCCGAGAGCGAAAGAGACAGGGAGCGACCTGGAGACCGAAAAAGCTGGAAATGGAAATGGAATTGGAAATCGAAATGAAAATGGAAATGAAGTGAACACGAGAAGTGGATATTGAGAGCAGCGATGATGGCCAGCAGCGCTGCCGCGGGAACAGGGGCAAATGTTCCCTGTCCCGGTTCCGTGCCTGGAACGGTTGCTGGCGCTGGCGCAACTGGAACGGGCACTGCCACCGCCGCACCGCCTGTTAACCACACCCACGCCGTATGCGTCTGGGAGTTTGAGTCGCGGGGCGGCAAGTGGCTACCCTATTCGCCAGCGGTGTCTCAGCATTTGGAGCGTGCGCACGCCAAGAAGCTAACACGCGTCATGCTGAGCGATGCGGATCCGAGTTTGGAGCAATACTATGTGAATGTGCGCACCATGACCCAAGAATCGGAGGCGGATTCACCGGAGACGGGCCTGCTGACGGTGATCGGTGTACGACGGATGTTCTATGCGCCCAGCTCGCCGGCGGGCAAGGGCACCAAGTGGGAGTGGTCAGGCGGCAGTGCGGACAGCAACAGTGACTGGCGGCCCTACAACATGCATGTCCAGTGCATCATCGAGGATGCCTGGGCAAGGGTAAGCAAGATCAGGGGATTCAAAGAGATTTTTTTACTTACTTTTGCTTACTTTTTTTTTTGCAGGGCGAGCAAACGTTGGATTTGTGCAACAGCCACATTGGTCTGCCCTACACCATCAACTTCTGTAATCTCACCCAGCTGCGCCAGCCCAGCGGTCCCATGCGCAGCATCCGCCGTACGCAGCAGGCGCCCTATCCTTTGGTCAAGTTAACACCACAGCAAGCCAACCAATTGAAATCCAACAGTAGCAACAGCAGCAGCTCGTCCTCGGCCAGCGGGGGCAGCTACAACACGCTGCCCAAGCTGGGTGGTGATAGTAGCAAAAGCAGCCTGCACCGAGTGCCCATGACTAGGCAGCAGCATCCATTGCCCACTAGTCACCAGGTGCAGCAGCAGCAGCAGCATCATCATCACCAGCAGCAACAGCAGCAGCTTCATCAGTTACAGCATCATCATCATCATCAGCAGCAGCAGCAGCCGCCCCATCATCATCATAATCACCATCACCAGCAGCAGCAGCAACATCATCAGACGGCGCCTAGAAAGCCGCCAAAGAAGCATAGCGAGATCTCCACTACCAATCTCCGCCAGATACTCAATAACCTAAACATCTTCAGCAGCAGCAGCAGCACCAAGCACTCGAATATGGCAACGGCAGCCAGCGCCAGTTCATCATCTTCAACGGCCTCCCTGCATCATCATGGCAACCATCTGTCGCATGCCCACTTCTCGCACGCCAAGAACATGCTAACGGCCTCCATGAATAGCCACCACAGCCGCTGCTCGGAGGGATCATTGCAATCGCAGCGCAGCAGCCGCATGGGCTCGCATCGATCACGTTCAAGAACGCGTGCCTCGGACACCGATACGAACAGTGTGAAATCGCATCGAAGGCGACCCAGTGTGGATACGGTGTCCACTTACCTCAGTCATGAGAGCAAGGAGAGTCTGCGGAGTCGGAATTTTGCCATTTCGGTTAATGATTTGTTGGACTGTTCGCTGGGCAGTGATGAGGTGTTTGTGCCATCGTTGCCTTTATCATCGTTGGGTGAAAGAGCGCCCGTGCCGCCGCCCCTGCCACTGCATCCGCGACAACAGCAGCAGCAGCAACAACAACAGCAGCAGCAGCGACAACAACAGCAGCAGCAACAGCAACAATTGCAGCTGCAACAGCAGCAACAATCAATCGCCGGTTCGATTGTGGGCATTGATCCCGCTAGCGATATGATATCGCGTTTTGTCAAGGTGGTGGAGCCACCGCTATGGCCCAATGCCCAGCCCTGTCCCATGTGCATGGAGGAGCTAGTGCATTCCGCCCAGAATCCGGCCATATCGCTGAGTCGTTGCCAGCATCTGATGCATTTGCAGTGCCTCAATGGAATGATAGTTGCCCAGCAAAATGAACTGAACAAGGTACGCTAGATCCATCTGTCTCTCTTTAATCCGATCGTTTTTAGTAATTAGGATTTTACGTATCTTTAAGAACCTCTTTATCGAGTGCCCAGTGTGCGGCATCGTATACGGCGAAAAGGTGGGCAACCAGCCCATTGGCAGCATGTCCTGGAGCATTATAAGCAAGAGTTTGCCAGGCCATGAGGGTCAAAACACCATACAGATTGTCTATGAGTAAGATTTTTTGTTATTTTTTCCCAATTAGAAACATACCTATATATCCATCCCTCTCCCTCTCCCTATCAGCATCGCCTCTGGTTTGCAAACCTCCGAGCATCCACATCCGGGTCGTGCCTTCTTTGCCGTGGGTTTTCCTAGGATCTGCTATTTACCCGATTGTCCGCTGGGACGCAAAGTGTTGCGATTCCTTAAGATAGCCTTTGATCGTCGTTTGCTGTTCTCCATTGGTCGTTCGGTGACCACAGGACGCGAGGATGTTGTAATCTGGAATAGTGTAGATCACAAGACACAGTTTAATATGTTTCCAGATCCCACCTATCTGCAAAGGACTATGCAACAGTTGGTTCATCTAGGAGTGACAGACTAAAAGGATAACAAGGATGCCCCCGTCTCTGAAAACCCACCGAAACAACATTTATAAATGTATCTTCCCCCCTGATCAGACTCTTCCATAAGTCGTTAAGTTTCCTACATAATCTCAGTTTGTGTGCAATCCTCGTTTACATATATATTTTTTTCGCTAGATTTATTTGTGTATTGCGTGTTCGAGCTGCTCGAACCCTAAAACAAATGGCAATTGCAGTAGCTTCCTTTTCCCGCCGCTCTTCCAGACCGATATATAAGGTGTTTCGTAACAGTATGTAGAAGTAAGTAGCTTTAGTTTCTAGTTGTAGTGGCCCAGAAAGAAAAACGAAAAAAGACACCTACTAGTATTAGGCATTATAGACCTGATTCCTGGATCCAATTCAATCCGAGTGCCAAAAATCGCAGGCGCTCTCCATTTCGTAGGATATGTATTGTATATTGTTGATATATATAGACCATTTCCTTTGCTGCTATATATTTATAAGGTAGTGTAAGGTCAAAGACCTTATATTAGCAAAATGAGTATCGCCGTTATGCATCTTGTTATTATAAGGTCTTTGGTAAGGTGTCATAACCGTATTTTAGAGAGTATTTTAGGAATGCAAACGCATACGCAGCTTCCATCTTGGCCATTCGAACTCTTCCATTGATGTGATTTTACAATTTGAATTATTCAGATCCTGCTTACTTATAAGATCAGCCAGATATTCCACTATATACATACAAGCATATATACAGCATATACATTTATCATACATTCGTTTATATATACATTTATTTTTTTTTAAATAATTTAAATTTTTGCACACATTTTTTGATGAAATTGTTGCTTTCATATTGATATCATCGAACATCGTATACATCGCCAATATATACATACATATATATATATAGCATATAGAATATAGAATATAGATTATAGCATATAGTAACCACACACGGACAGCTAGCGGGTCTCGTCCGCCTCCAACCATATCTGATATGATTTTTGAACTAAGAGTTGTATTTAGCACTGATTAGTTTTTAGTGTTCATTGCGAATATATCTGTTAATTCCACCAACAATAAATACCATTATCACTTAAAGGAGCTTATGTTTTTTATTAGGTACTGTATCGAGAGGAAAATTCGGCTGGTGTGGTATATATTTAAAATATAAACTTAAATATGGATATATCAAATTTTTAAATATACAAAAATATTGTTTTTTAATTTTGGCGTTAAATGTAGTATTTTTAATATTTAAAAATTATATTGAAATTTAAGAATATGCTTTATATATTCATATTTAATATTTAACAATTATAATTAAATTTAAGAATATATTTTATATATCCAAATTATTTAAAAACGTAAGAAAAGATGTATTTAATTTATTTGTATGTTTTTCCGATTTTATTGGTCCGATTCAAACATAATAACGAATTATCACAACATTTAAATATTTATTTTACGAATTTTAGACGTTTGTCCGATCCCTGACATTATATATCTTTATATATTTTTAATCAGGAACAACAGTCAACCGGCTTTAGCCTAAAATATTTTTTATGGCTGTATTAAAGCCTCTGGAACTTTTCTAAATTATATATCTACAATATTTAAGCTTATGATTATAGCTTTTACTATTTTAAATATAATTAGTTAATTAATATGAGGGTTAATGAAAAATAAACTTCATTGCAACATCGATATGTTGCAGCAACACCAAAGGTTGCTTGCAATCAAGTCCCTTGCAACATTTGCATAGCTACATTTGCCCAGCAACATTTTCTCCGCTCAAGTACAGCTCCTTGTATGTTTCTGTTTCCTATATTTAATTGAATGCATATTACAACGCATTGCTAAGTAATTAATTGTTTAAATTAGGCTAGAATAAGGTGAAATTCCACATAACAATTTTGGGGTTTTTTTTTCTGCAGTGCAATTCAAATCAATCAGTGTTGACAATTTTGGGACTCCCAAGGTTCGATTTCGTTTGCAGTCTTGCAGTTTTCGATTTCAGTGAATCACTTAAAATAAATTAATAAAAGACAAAAAAAAAAAAATAAATAAAATAAAATAAAATAAAAACAAGAAAGGAAGCTAACTTCGGCACGCCGAAGTTTGTATACCCTTGCAGATTGGTTTCGATGTTTATATTATAGATTTAAATGCTGAAAACACTCACAAAACAGAGTTTCATTACATTTTACCCATACTTATTATGTTTACAGTTTGACAGTTAATAATAATAATTTTAAAAATAAAATTATTAAAAATATATTTTTTTTTCCTATTTATTTCTCGACCGTTCCTATGGCAGCTATATCATATAGTCGTCCGATTTTGATAAAATTTTTACCAAAATTCTGAAATAATATAGAATGGCCAAAATGGTGCAAAAATGTTGAAAAACAGCAAAGTTATAAATTGTTTTCTACAAATATATCGAACATTTGTATGGCAGCTATATGATATAGTCGTCCGATCCGGCCCGTTCCGACATATATAGCAGTGAGAGCATATAGAAGACTATATGCAAAGTTTCATTCAGATAGCTTTAAAACTGAGGGACTAGTTTGCGTAGAAACGGACAGACGGACGGACGGACGGACAGACGGACAGACGGACAGACGGACATGGCTAGATCGACTCGGCTGTTGATACTGATCAAGAATATATATACTTTATAGGGTCGGAAAGGTCTCCTTCACTGCGTTGCAAACTTCTGACTGAAATTATAATACCCTGCAAGGGTATAATAAATAAGATGCATTGTGCGTGATGTTGGTAAAGTTGCCCCAACCATTTAAGGCACAGCAGAGGCAGCAGCAGTGGCGGCGGCAACATGTTGCAGAGACGTGTGCATGGCCGTCGTCGCCTCTTCAGCTGCCTACGTACCCTGACGTCAGACAGGCGCGCACAAGGACAGTGTCCAAAAGGGGACAACTTGGCTTGGACTGGGACTGGTAATGCCACTGGCTTTCACTTGGCTCCTCCAAAGGGCCTTGGATCTGCCAGCTGTTGCCGCCTTCGATCATTAGAGGGTTATTAGCCTTAATTTTTGTGGAATCTATGTGGTAAAAGTCTGGAATTGGTTTAAAAATTAATGAATTTATTTGAAATTTTGATTTTTTACATTTTAAGATATTCCTAGTTACTTTTTATAAATTTAAGGAGATTTTAGGTCTTTGAAAAAAAAAGGATTAATAGATTTTATAATGTAAACTAGATCATTAAATGGTTATTAGTTGTTTTTATATATTTATAATTTATAATTTAATTGGAGTTTTCTGAAAATTATTTTTTTTTATTATTCAAGTTTGCCACAGAAATCGCTAGAGATTTTTAATTAGTTCAAAAAATACCTACAAATATGCCTAAATATATATTTTTTAATGCTAACTCATTGTTGGATATTTCCCCTTCTTAAGCATATTTTGGAAAAGTATTTTAGCAATTTTTGTGGCACCCTTGATGGTAAATTTCATTAGCAAAAAACTCTCTATAAATATACCTATCTTTATTTTATGTTTTTTATTTATTTTTTTCTGGATGCTGCCGTTATCCTTGGTCCACTTGCATAAGCAAATGTTTTCCTAGAATTTACACAGCATTTCATGCAATTTTAATGCCACTGGAAAAATCACTGATCACTCACGCTCGTTGGCATTCAACACACGCACACTCACTGCATGTGGTGTGTGTGTAAAAAGAGAGAGAGGAGGCAGGGGTGGGTTGGAGGTGCATAGTGCGTTGCGATGATGTTCGCTAATAAGGTGGTTTTGGCCAAAAAGCAAAAAAAACAGCCACTGACCCTGTTGGCAGCTCAGGTTGTTTATTTTTTCGGCCTCAGCCTCGTCCCGGCCATTTTTTGATATTGCGATAAAAAAAAAACTGGGCGATAAGGCCATCCTCTATCTCCAGCTTTCAGTTAGATCTTGTCTCCCAAGCTAATCCAAAAATATTTATGAAGAAATCTTGCAAGATTTTTGGTTATATTAATTTATTTAATTCTTTTAATTTGTTTTTTATTTACCAAATTAGCTTTGGAGTATTTTAATTTAATTTTAGGTATTTTTAAAACAAAATTAAGGCATTTTAGTAAGAAAAGTAAGATGTATAAAAGTCAAACTTAATTTATTTATAATTTATCCATTATAGCTAGCAATCTACAAGTTTAATTTGCTTATAACAACTGTCATTATTTGTGGCCTTCAGCCATATCTTTCTTGCATTAAATTTCTGTACAAAAATATGTGTTAGGATAGTGTTGAGAATTTTATATAAACACGCGACTCTTGAAAAGTGTCATAAGAAAAATATGCAAAGGGTTTGGCAGGCCTTTGACTTGGGTTCTTTTGGGTTTGTTTTATTTGATTTTTTGTTTTTAAGTATCATTAGTCATGCAGGGATTATCGGGTTCTGGAGCGGCGCTCTTCTCTCTCTCAGGCGGAGGCTCTCACTTTTCTTATCTTTAAGGATCAGCTGAGGTAAAGGCGTTGGCAGAGACACATAACTACTTATACACTGCAAGCTTAGGTATAGTTTATAAGCAAATTATAAGCAAAAATTGTGTTTTTTTTTAAATAATGGTTTAAGTAATTTTGTTAAAATTAGTTAGAGCATTCTTTTCTTTTTTTTTTCTATAGCTTAACCCATTATTTAATTTTTAATTGTCCGTTTTTATACCCTTGTCATTTCCGACCCTATAAATCATTATATGTATTCTAGATCAGCATTCAATAGCGAGTTTTTCTAGATTTGTTTGGTAAAAAAAATTGAAATTTTTTTTTTTTAATTTTGTAAGGGGTTACATTGTTAAAATTGTAAAAAATTATCCAAAATTTTCATTTTTTAAATTTTTTTTAAGCAGATTTATTAATAATCAAAAATTTAACTCAGAACTCTTTTCATAATTAAAATTAATTAATTTCCTTCTTGTTAACATTTATTTTTCTAAGACACGACTAGACATTTTTCGTACAGTGTAAAAGAGCTCTGCTGCTGCGGTGGCAACTCCAACAGAGAGAAAGAGAGGGAGAGCAAGCCGGGGCCCCAGCTCGAGGGAACTAAATGCGGCAGCAACGGCAGCCTGCAATCAGTCCAGAGCCTCCGCTCGTGCCAACCGCATCCAACTGCATCCATATCCATAACCATATCCATATCCGTATCCGCATTCGTACCCTCAATTCAAATCGATATTTGTTTGTTTTTTTCTGTGTTAAAGTGCAAATTTGCAAAATTTTTGTTGTCAAAAATTTGTGTTAAAAAATAGTTTTTTTTTGTCGTTATTTGGGTAAACATTTAATAAAAATAATAATAACAATTGGCCGCAGACCGCAAATAAAACGCGTTTAAAACCCCGCGACAAGTGACTTTATGCAGAAGCGCCGCGGCAGCCGCAACTTGATCTTTCCGTAAAATTATAAACAACAATAAACAATACAAAAAAAAAAAAACGAACTATATAAACTGCTCAAATATTTGCCAACTTGCCAACTTGTGCCGTTGTCTCAGCGATCATCTCCGTCTCGAGTTACGAAAGCCCCCCGAAGGCGACGTCTCTGATAAGAAGCAGAAAAAAAACACCCAGCAGCCGCAGTCGCAGCAGCAGGTGAGTACAAGGCATGGGCGTAGCAGGGGGAGGAATTTTATGATTTATTTTTTAAATTTATATTTGATATAATAACATATTATTATTATTATTAATATTACTATTATTTTATTATTATTACTATTATTAACGCATGATAAAGAAAGGGTTCCTTGGAATTTCTTTAATTTATTGATTAATTTATTTAATAACACGTTAATTACACTGCTTAAGCCACTGATTACTAGTGAGAGGAAAAGGGTAAGCCATAGAGTGAGGGGTATGGAGGTCTGTTTAACTACAATGTTAGTTGGGAATTCTAACAGTTTTGCGGTAATTTCTGCGGTTTTCCTGCTAGTAGGCGCCAAAAGCGTTAGGTTTAATATATATACATATATGTATATACGTTTTTTTTTCTATTTATAATAGAGAAAATTAAAGCACTTGATAATTTCAAATTTATTAAATAAGAGTTTTCATAAGAAATTCATTATTATTAAATGGAGAAATTTTAAGAAAAATATATAAATAAATATAATTAAATTATAAAATATTACAATAATCAAATAAAAAAAATAAATAATACAAAAATAAAATTATAATAATATTATTAGTATGTTTGTGAGGTTTAACCTAATTTCAAGTGATATTAAATCCATCAGGTGAATTCCTAGCCTGAAGTAAAGGTTTATAAGATTATTCAATAAATTACAATATCATTATTAAGAGATTTTTTAATATTATTGATATAAATATTAAAAAATATTTTTAATAAAAAATTCCCAAGTCCTTGTCCGATCGAGTTAAAGTTTGGTATAATATGAACTGAGTTTATAAAAACAATTTAGATCTGAAATTTAATTTATAAATTATAAATATATGCATATAATTGCTTTATTATATTTATAATTTATTATATATTTATATCATATATACATATCACACTTAAAATAAAGTTAATATCTTTTATAGATAACTCTAAAATCCATTTGCATCTTAAGCTTATTTTTATATCCATTCATAAATCTTGACTGACCAAAAAAAAAAAAACGAGTGATTTTCGGTAATAAAACGGTTTTTAATTGACCAACAGCAAAATGTGACGGTTTCGTTAGCCGTTTTCGGTCATCCATAGCGTCGTTCTTAGGGCATTGGCCACACGCCAGCCCACGCGATTCCTACAAGGTATACGATACTATATACGATATATACATATAAAGCACAAAGCGTACATCTTTATTTAATTTTTTATTTGATGGATGACCCATAAATGCGTTAAATGGATGTCTGTGAAGGCTTTGATTTATATTAGATATTGTCTGGCAAATTTTTATCCGGCTTAAGGGAATTATGATCTGTATATATTAGAGATAAACATTTTGCGGGAGTGGAGACCATTTTGGGGGAAATTTATTGAAACGAATTGCTGTCATTTCAATTAGTTCACTGAGCATGAAAACAGGAAAACATGTAGGTGGCTTTATAGCGAAATATATATATCAAAAGCATTCCATTAAATAAATAGACGTATAGCCGGTGAGCTGTGGAAATCATAAGTTTAGATGCAAATACGTTCAGACACTTATCGCCTGCCCAGGAGAGGCAGAGGTTTGATGCTGGCTGTTAACTTGGCTTCAAGTTCAATTGCTGCTTGCCAGCTTCGCAGCGTGATTGTGTTTGCCCAATTGTGGTTTTGAACTTGTTTGGCTTTTGGCCGGGCGGGTGCTCACCGGCCTTACCGGCCTCACCTCAGACGGATTCGCCAGATTTATTGCCAATTGACCGAGCCTCAGTCCGTTGATGTTAACCAAAAGTGAAGCCAGCTCAATGAGCAGCAACAACAGGTGCACTGGCGAAAAAAAAATATATATATAAAATAAAACAAAAAATTAAGAAAAAAATTAAAAATAAGAATATATATAAACAAAAATTTCTAAAAAAAAATAATAATAATAAATACTAGGCAGAGATTTTAAAAATAAGAATATATATAAACAAAAATTTCTAAAAAAAAATAATAATAATAAATACTAGGCAGAGATTTTCAATAGGAAACTTCTTTGGGGACTCAATTTGCCTAAAATGCAGTACAAATGTATGCAAACATTTTTTTATAACTACAATTGTAATAGTTATAAAATTTAATTTCACTGATTCTGAAAAATATATAAATCTAAAAAAACCCATAATTTTAAAATAAATAAATAAATAAATATATAATAATAATAATAATAGATAAATAAAAATACAAATAATAGGTAAATCAATAAAAATAATATTAATAATAAATTGAAAAACAAAAAAAAAATTTAAAATTAATTATAAATTATTTAATATTTCTCTTAGAAATATATCTATAGAACATATATTTAGGAATACACCTATTCCTAAAGAACAATGTCCGATTTTTTGCCTAAAATAATTCCCTATAAAAAGAGTAATCTCATTTAAAGGAAAACCCCCCATTCTTCACAGTGTAAAATCAACGTTATTGCACTTTTCTCAAGTTTTTTTTTTACAGTACATGCAGCTCACACTGTCCATGTTCGATTGTAACCATTTACGGGGGAAATGTCACAACTCACTGGCCGATTCTTACCGATTCTGGCCCGGGCCAGACTCTATAGTCTCCTATAGCCTCTAGCCGATTCTGGCTCGCCTCGTTCGCAGTGCCCATAACACTGATCATGATCGATGGCAGACAGCTATATATACATATATTACTCAACACACCGACGACAAATTATCAAATAAATCAGCATGGGAATAATGTGCAGCGATATATTGTTGCATCATCGGTGCAAAGCTAAAACTCTGATTATCGCTCTAATCTAAGCTGCACTATCTTATATGATTCCAAGAAACTAACAAAAGTGTTATCTTTATTTTCTATTATTTTTTACAGTCTCTTTTGCCATGGAAGTGGAATGCGATTTGGGTGATATTCAGAATGAGGAATTGTTGAGAAAAATGGTAAGTAAAATATATTTAAAGCTACAATTAAAGAAAACACTTTTTATAAACAATTTAAAGCTGACAATTGTGGGAAATATTTTAAAATATTTTTTAATAATTTTTGGTATGTATAAGGTTTGAAATCTTTTGAATTACAGTCTAAAAGTATGTCAAAAAAGGTTACTTTTATAATTCTTTGCATACTTTTAGACTGCTTTTTTAGCTAACTTGAAATATGTGGCAATTAACATTTTATCTCCTTTAGAATTTGCTTTTAAAAAAGTATAAAAACTATTAATATAAACCTTATATGGCTCAGCTATGAATTTAATTCTTAAATACTTAGTATTTCATTGTAAAAATATTATTCCTCGCATAAAATATGCCAAACATATCTTCTCAGTTCATTGACTCCTTGATGGACTTGTGTGTCCCCCTTGTCAAAGCCCAAGTACCAGTGGAATTGCCTTTAAAGCCCTGGGACTGGCTCGAGAACTGGCCAGAGAAAAGTCCGGACAACGGACCATATATCCATGGTTAGTCAGTCAGTCAGTCACCCAGTTCAACCTGACCAAATTGGGTCATTTATGGGGTTGTCTTACTGTAGCCGGCTGTCGCGTGGGCCGCTATAGCAGTCGCTAGTCGCTGACTTGGCTCAGACATTTGCAATAATCGTTAAAAAGTCGTTAGAAAAATCAATGGAAAAACGATGACGATGTCGATGTCGAGCCAAAAAAACAACAGAAAAAGAAAATGATCTATCTAACTGCATTAATGAAGAATAACACAGAGTTAGATATTTTAGTATCGAAGTGGAGAATACCCTTTATTAGATTTATAAATCTTATATTACTTTATATAAATCGTTAAAGGTTATGGGAGGTTTATTATAATTAATTTATTAAATCAGTGAGGTTTTTAAAATAACCAAAAAGGTGTTAAAAATAATTCTTCTTTTAAGGGGTTATATACAGTTGTACCGCGCAAAAAAATGCAATTTTGCCGATTTTTTTTTGACATCATAAAAAATATTTATTAAAAATGTTTTGCCGACGTCGTTTAGTACATATTTCTGGGTACTTTATAAAATTTTTTCATAAAAAAATATTAAATATTAAAAATGTTATGGCCGAATTCCAAGATCGTCTTTTTTCGATGGTGACTTGCGGTGGACATCATATCCCGAGAACGGTTCATCCGAAATCAAAAATTAAACAAATTTTCGTTAGTATATTGTATTGCCTAGTCCTCTAGACCATGGATGTAAAACTTTTGATTAAAAAAAAAATGGCGACAGTTTTAACAAAAAATTTACTTTTTCGAGGTATAACATTTTCGATTTTTATGCTTTAAAAAAAAATTTTTCAAAAAAATTAAAAATTCTTCGTTAGAGGACTAGCTATTGTTATAATAAATAAGTGGTCAAAATTCGGTGTTGATCGGATCAATAGTTTTTTAGTAATCGTGTCCACCGCAAAGGTAACTTCGAAAAAAAAACGCTTCTGAGATAATCGCGTTTAAAGTTTCAAGTTTGTTCAAGCCGATGTGCAGGTCGTGCACTATAAATAGCTACAACTTCTGTTCTAATGCTCCGATCGTTATGAATTTTTGTGAGAATATTCTCAACATTATATACTTGAAGAATATGAAATAAAAAAAAAGTCGATTTTTTTATCATCACAACTGTATATAACCCCTTAAACCCCTTTAAAATCCACAACGAATTTTGCGAAAGGACTGATAGTTTTTGGCTTGATTTGTAGATTTAATTATTAAAAAATCGTATTAAAAATTAGTTAAATAATTTATCATATTGCTTAAATAAGCATTTACAAAATGTAATGTATTTTTAAAATTTTTCCAAATTTTTAAAAACCTTTTGTAAGAGTAGCAGACGAAAGAAGACACAGCAGACGATCTTCGACCCACGCAGTTGCGTCGCTGCTTTAGAGAGTGAAAGAGAGAGAAAGAGTCGCTTTCTCGCGCAGTAGATAAAGGAGAGACAGGGAAAGAGCAGCAGCAGCAGCTGCAGCGACAAATTGGGATGCTGCAGCAGCGGCAGCGACCGCTTGACTGATAAAGCCAGCGATGACTCATTGGCCATGAATCAATTCCAGCTCTTTTGGCCTCTGAGCTACGCTGACCGCCGCTGGCCTCCTTCAACTCCTGCTTCTTCTACGCTTTCTGTTCTCCTTTGCCGTTGCCTTCTTCGGCTCCTTCTCCTGTCTCCTCCTTTTCTCTTCTCTGTCTGAATCTTATCTGCGCTCTTGCCTCTTCTGCCACTGGCGATGACGCCATAGGCAGGGATGCCAGACTTAGAAATATATTTAAAAATCTTAAATAATATACATATATATATATATTTTTTATACAATTTTTAATTAATACTTTTTGTATTTAAAATATTTAAAATAATATAATAAACAATAGAAGTGCCGGTTCTCGGTTATATATATTTTATTTTGCATTCAGCAAAAAGGTTTTATTTATTTTTACTATTTTTTTCTTGTAATTCTGTAAATGTTATTTTAAGTACAAAAAAATATTATTTAGTTTTTGTATTTCAAAAATAATAATTATTTATCTATAGTTTCCACCTAGCTGCGTGGCATTAAAAATATACATTAGACTTTGCTAGTTTTTCTATAGCTTAGCTTAATGTCCATTCTTATCTTAAGTTTATAAATATACATCATTGTCTAATCAGAATAAAAACTACCTTTTAATTTAATAAATACTTCCGATGGTAAAATGACAGAGTGAATCTTATCACCCGAAAGCAATTTCAAAACAATTTCTTATCTTATCTCAGCCAAGAAGTTTGTATAATTAGAATAACCAATATATGCTTGAAAATGTTAAAATAATTAATTTAGGCTTATTATATTTTTTATTTATACTTTTTATTGTGTATTGAATAGAGCTAAAAAAGAGTCGAAGTCTTTGATGTTTTTATAAGGCGAATATCGATTTTAAAAATTTAAGCTTAAATCTAGATTATTTAAGGTTTATTAAGTGTTTGTTAAAATTATATATTAATATATTTTACAGAATTTTTAATTAAATACTTATAGCTGATATTCTAAAAAATATTTTTATAATATTATTATAATATAATATAATATTATTATTAAATATTTAAATTAATAATATATATATATATATTTTTTTTTTTAGTTTTTAAAATATTTTCATAAATTCAAAGCCAGTTATTTATGAAATTTTACATGCCTGGGCGGCTCAAAACCTCTCAGTTGGCTTTAGAACCTGGCCAAATGGATCTCCCCAGAGCGTTGGCTGGCTCTTGGCCCTGAAACTGAGCTTCGATTCTGTTTGATTCGATTCAATTCGATTCGATTTTATTCCGCCAGACAGACAGCCAAAAGGAACGCGTGGGTCGGTCCAGGCATCGACTGCGGAATAAATCAATGAGCCAAAGTTGAACTGGCACACACGGCGAGTTAGACAGAAAATAAATAAATAAAAAATTAAAGTCGGAGACACCCGCGTATGGCAAATGGCCAAATGCAGCAAGTGGCGGCCACCGAACAGTGGACACCACAGACACAGACTCAGACCGAGACTAGACACTACAGTGGGTCGCGGGCCACCGCTAGTCACGACTAAGTCTGCGTCTGCGCAACGTCTGCGCCAGCGCCAGCGATGAGTAATTTTTTCTTTTGTTATTTTGTTAAGATACAAAGAATGGTGGGTAGCAGCAGCAGCTCTGCTCGAGTGGTTGGTTAGGCCAAAAATAGTCCCAGAGAAAATAGGTGTCTATTATTAACATTGTTATTAATTATTACTGCAACAATGACGCCCACCCAATGGGTGATTTATCAAAAGCCTTAAAACCAAAATCGAACACGTTCCAATGCAATTCGCAGCGACGGATGAGCCACGTCCGCAGGTTAGTAAATAAATAACGAAATAAGTTAAATATTTCATTTCTACAGAAAGGCAGGAAGTGGGTTTAAACTAAACTGAACTATTTTCTGTTTTTTATTAGGATATGAGAAATTTTAATGCTAGATAATATTGTTAAATAATTATTAATATACAAATTATTGTGGGCTTATTGTAAATTTTAAAGTACCTATAAGATGCAAGAAATATTTTAGAAATGTCACAACTAAGCCAAAAATGATTAAAATTCAATTCGGAAAACTTTTCAATGCTAGTTTTTATTAGGTTAACAAATCAGCATATTAAGTTTAATAATTTAGAAAATTAAATTTTTTTTTTCAATTTTTCAGAACTTTAACGATATAACCCCTTATCAAATTTTATAAAAAAAATTTTTAACATTTTTTTTCTTGCCAAACTGGGTCAGATCGACTCTGTGCTCTGATGCTGATCAAGAATATATATGATATATAGGGTTGGAAATGACTCCTTCACTGCTTTTCAAACTTCTGACTTAAATTAACATTACCTTGCTACTTACTCGTTACTCGACCCACTGTGCCCCGTGTCGCCGGTCGCGTCATCTTCGTTTATTTGCCGTTTTTTCGTATTCGGTCATATCTCGGCTCGCTGCCCGCTTCACTGCTCGCTGCGCTGTCGGCGTCGCTGCCGGCGTCTAAGCTGGCGGCCACTTTAGGCGGCTTTGTGATTCTGATTGGAAACTTCAGTCTGATTTTGGTGCTCGATCGATTGCAACGTGTCGACGCTCGGTGAAAAGAATATAAAAAACGTAAAGCAAAAACAACGTTCAACCACAAGTCACAACTACGTTAACTTTTTTTTTCTTGCTGTACAATATTTATTTATTTATTAAAAAAAAAACGAAAATCGAATAAAATAAAAGTAGAAAGAGGACAAGGATTAGTCACACTTTTTTTTTGCCATCAAGTGTTTTTTAACGTGCCTTTTCTTGCCGGTTCAACCACAACAACAAGGAGAAATACCTCCAACTCCAATCAACAACAACACCAACGAGAAGAATTCGGCAAAAACTCGAAAAAAAAAATACGAAAAAAAAAAGACAATCAAGTCTGTTTTTTACCTGAGGTAAT